GGAGGAGGAACCTGCAGAGAGAGAATGACGGATGATCTAAGAATGCTTGCTGTGTGCCTGGCACGATGTTAGGCTTGTCCTGCGGATTCCTCACTTAGTTCCCACAGCAACTCTATAATATGGATACAATTATAATACCATTTTAGAGATGAGAAGTTTGAGGCTGAGAAAGGTTAAGTTGCTCACCCTGCTTCACTCAATCGGTAGATGCAGAGCTGAGAGATATGGGCCAAGTGCTTCTACTCAAGGAGGGAGGAATCTGCTGGGAGGCTCTGCTGCCTGGGGGAGCGTGGGTGTAATAAAGGATGCAAAAATCATTGCAGCACCGGCATGTTTTGGGTCTTTATCAGACTGGATTTTGAGTCTCCGTCTTGTATTTTCAGCTACCAGCTCTAGATTTGGCGGGGGCAGAGAGAAACAGAGCTGGAGCGGGCGTGGCCCCAAGTCCATGCCTTGTCTCACTGTGATTAAGGAGGGAAACTAAGCCTGCAAGAAGTCTGTTTTGGAAACTCAAAGTGCTTGCCCATCCAGAAAGGCTGCACTTTGATATCCAAAACAACACGTTGAATTAAATGTGTTTTAGAGCCAAGAGTGGAGAAAATTAATCGGCTTATAACACAATATATACCAAGGCACCTGCAGTCTAAAAGGAAGCAAAAAAAAAAAAACAAAAACCCATGTTTCCTGTGATCTGAAAGATGTGTATCGTCTGAAAGGAATTATTGGGGATGCGTTTTGCCTTTTTTGCCTTAGAGAGAGAGGAAAACTGTGGTCATAAACGTGTCAAAAGCTCTTTTGAGATGAGGAGAGTCAGGGTCCATTTTCCTCCTGCTCTCGTGTCTTCATTTCACCAAAGCCCACGCGGGTGACGTCGCAGGGGCTGGGAGACAGCTTCGGGCCTTCAGTGGCTGCTTCATCATCTCCCCAAAAGTTCATGTCGGTGTTCGTGAGATCAAACTGAAAGCATGTAATCTGTTCTATATTGATATTTATATTAAAGGCACCACAATGTGGGAACTAATGTAGATGGATATGTAATTCGATGATTAAATGATATGGACTTCATAGTGGAGAATTTATTTTCAGATTCTAATTAGAACCAAAATGAACTGTGTAGATTCTTGTTAACGCACGTGGATTACCTTGTACACTATAATATTAATAAAACTCTTTTTTTCGTGTCATTTCCAAAGCAGTCAGGGAGCCAAAGTGGGTGATCAGAGAAGACAGCTTCCTCCAGTGAGCCCCCAGGCCCCAAGACCTGAGGACAGGCCTGTGCATGACGCAAGCACAGTTCGGGAACCCTCACTGATGACCGTCACTGGAGATGTCCACAGGGCGCTGGAGGCCAGGCATCAGATGGGAGCTGGACAGATGACCTTAAGTTCCTGTGTGGCTCCATGATGGCAGGAATCTACCGAAGAGGTGACTCTGTGACCCTCCTCCCAGGGCAACCCCCTGCTCCACAAGGCAGGGAGAGACAGGACTTGCTGTCTGTGCCTGAGGAGAGGATCCTTTCTCTGTGCTGAAAATGTGCAGTCATCAGAATTGCTATTTATTTAGGCAATCTTCAGCTTGGCCATAGGGATTTTTCTGGCTTACTATTCGTACACTTATATTTGAGCTCTCACAACAAGTACCCCGAGCCAAAACAAACCAGTGCCTCAGCTAATTGACTGTGCACATTTAACCAATTACCCAAGTCATTAGCACTAACCAGTCTCAGCTTCTCTTAGGTTCTTGCCTATGAGGAAGGGAAAGTCTCCCTTGGCCATGAGTGTGAATCAGAGAGATGAGTGGGCCTCATCCACCGGACTCTTGGACTTTGAGCAAGACATCAGTCTTTACTTCAACCAGGGGAAAGAGAAAAGAGAAGGGAAGTAGTGCACTTTTTTTCCTGACTAGCTAAGCTCTAAGCCACTTGTAGATATGTCCTCTCATTTAATTTTCACGAAATTCCAAAACTGAGCCCAGAGAGTTTAAGCAACGGGCCCATGATCACACAGCTCTAATTCAGAGCTGATTTAGAGAAGGGACCTGCATTCCTTATAGTCTGCAGTCATCACCTTCTCCCATCTCTCCTGAGGAAGTCAGCTCCTTAAGTCCTGAAGGGGGAGCCACCTACCCTGTGCTGAAGAAAGACACTTCACTCAAAATCACCAATCATGGACCACCGGGAACTGGAAAGCTGGCAGGCCTAGAATGTGGACCTTTCCAGCTTCCCCCTCCCCTCCCCCACCCCTACTCCATCTTTGCCCATTGCAACGAGACATAAATAAATAATCGAGAAAACAAACAAGGCTTCTGAAGTCTGCCTAGTTTCCTGTCTCTGCAGACTGTGAGAACAATGTGCATTGTTCCTCTCTACTGAAGACAGTTTTTATATAAATAAGGGATGTGTAACTCCCGTCACCAATGTTAGAATTCCATTTAAAAGTAAATTGACTTCCTGAAATATATGTATTGGCAGCAGTGGCCACCACAGCTGGTATTACATTTTACATTTAACACAGTGCTGTTTGCCTTGACAGATTCCATATTTTTTCATATATAAATCAATAGAGTGATGTTTGAAGAGCTCGAATCTATCTTTCACCGTTCCCCACTTCAACCCTGCATTCTGAACTCATAAAGAAGGAACTTTCTAGCAGGCATCATTTAGGTGGAGGCTGTTATTTACAGCATTTGACTGTAGCAGCATTGATGTAAACTCAAACAAGAAATGCCTGGAAAGAAAGCCAGGAATTTGATTCTGAACGGAAGCATTCTAATAATTTTTTTAAATCATGTATGCATATGTGCATGTGTGTGGGCATATGCATGTGTGTGCATGCATTTGTGTGGGGGGCAGTATACATGTGTATGTTTGTGTACGTATACATGTGTGTGTATGTTGTAAGACCAATTATATATAGTTTTTTCACGATCTTCTGACCTGACCATGCAGGCCATGGGTATGGCGAGGAGCAGCCAACCAAGGCAAGAACCTTCGGGCTGCAGGGGCTGGCAAAGCAGGGAATGAGCAGTGGTGGGAAGTGGCTGTGTGTGGGGAGACTCAGAGCAGGGGTGAGCCTGGACTTCTCTTGTGGAACAGCACCTCTCAAGATTGGCATTTGGCTTTGGAAAGGTAGAAAGCCACTGGGGCCTCTAGCCTCTACCTCAGCTTCTTCACTCAACCCTCAAGGAGGGCAGGTGCTGATCAGGAATCACTTTCCCGGCTCATTTTCTAGTAGGTGGAGCTTGGGGTTATACAGAAGCTTGTGCAGAAAAATGGGAGTCTCTCTGGCTGCGTTTGTGTGTGTGTGTGTAGCAGAAAGGTAAAACTTTGGCTAGGATCCTTTTTTTTTTTTTAAGACTAATGACCTGTAATTTGTTGTTACCATAGAATGACATGACTTGTAGCTTTACTGTCTAGAATTGGTTGATAGATTTAAAACAAAGAGTAAGTCAAGAACTCTCCAGGACCTTATACCATTTAACATTTAAGACAAAGCCGGAGATGGTGAGTCATGATCCTGGTGGGTGAGGGTTATAAGAGAAGGGGAGGGTACCACGGGTAGAGAGTGGGCATTTCAAGCTAGGAGCTCACCCACTTGGCTGTATTTGCATGGCCCAAAGGACAAAGCCAAGTACACAACTGTTGTAGGAATTCTGACATTTTGGGAGGTCTCTGCTGTCCCCCTTTTCAATTTTCTTTTGAAGAAAAGATTTTTTTCTTTTATTTTAATCTGAAACCTTCTGATTGTTTCCATATATAGAAATTCACAGACTATTTGACCTCTTTCCCTTCTCTTTGTAGTGCCTAGGTTTCACATCATTTATTCTATTCAATAATTGATATTCATTAGAAAGAGAATCTTATGTGATTTAAATTTTATTCCTTTGTCAGTCCATGTATTCTAATTTGGGGTCAGAAATGAGAGTCCCTCCTGTGACTCTCTGTGGAGGAGTTGTCTCTGTCCCGTTAACTCCACGGTCCAGGAGGAAACCTGCTGGCCCAATGACTAAAGCCACATTTCCAGGGGAGTTGAGCTTGGAGATAGACCAGGAAATGAGAACTCTCTGTTATAGTTCTTATCTGTCAGGAATGTATATATTTTACGTTTCTTTGTAGAGCACTATAATCTGAAATTTAGGTTTGAGCAGAGAGAAAAGCAACTACTCAGGCCTCAGGGCTGGACAAACGAGTCTTTGTCAGGATCCAGCCCAGCCTATTGGTGGTCTGCATTGGGATTTGGATCAAAGCCATAGGCAACACAAACATAGCTTAGCATTCTATTTGCTAATTAATCATTGCCACTGATCCTCAGAGACTTAGGAGGAAGTAGTGATCAAGGGTAGGGTTTTAATAGTCCTGGCTCCTTGACTAAGTGCTCTCAAAACACCATCTGGTACCTTCCAATCTCACCATTTAGCAACTCTACCAATAGATCCCATGATATCAACAGTTAGGACAGAAAGAGAATTCAATCAACTAGGATGCATGGTTAAGAATTGAAGTGAAGGAACTTCATTTAGATCCACTGGCCAAAAGATCACAGAGAGAAGCAATTTGGTGAAGGCAGAAGAAACCAAACCAGTCTACTCACTGTCCCTTTGATTCTCCACCTGCATTCCCTAATGGAGGTCGCATAGGAGTGGATAAGCAACTGACGGGCACCAGGGAGGTCTCTGATGAATTTTCACATCACAGACCTTTGCTCTTCCCCCTGCTGCTGGAACGTGGAACACCCACCACCACTGTCCAGATCTTACCCATTCCTCAAGATCCAGTTCAAGTCCAAAGTCTTCCCTATGGTGCCAGACCATAGTGATCCTTCCAGAATCATTTGGATCAAAATGACATAGCTTCTTCTGTTTATTAAGTTTTTGTTTTTATTCTATGTGATTTGTCTTCTCAGCTAAGTTATAAAAATCTTAGGAGTTGTTACCATATTTTATATTTCTCTGTTCTCTGCAGAGCCTAGCGCAGTGACTCATTTGCCATTAATGGATTTTTGAATGAAGAGTCTAAAAGGCCCAGGAATGGGAAAACCTGCTCTGATTTTTGATAAAAAAGGAAAACTAACTCCTTGAATCTTCATCTGCAAGGCTATTCCTGAATCGCAATGGGAATTCCTTTGACACCTTCTTGGCATACAATCATTCCAACCTCTTTATTTCAAACTGCAGTTAAATTAGTTAGAAGATAACCTAATTTTGGAAAGAATGTGCATACTGTAGTCCATCAGTTCTAAAATGCACATTTTTTTTCATTTTTAACATTGATGGCTCTTATAATTATCACTATTTTGTTCTTTCTTATGTTATATAAAATAATGGTGCTTCTTATAATGGATGATGACGTAAAGCTAATGGAACACAGTGTGTCTGCATGCCCATCTAGTAATTCATCTACAACTCCATGCAATGGCCTTTACTTGACGAATGAATGTGGAAGGAGTTCATAGCTTACATCAAAATTTGACTGTCCCCTACCCTGTTCCTTCCCCTGCTTCCACTGTCATGCATGTTTTTAGGCATCTTCTTAGAGCTTTTAGGGTGTCTGTGGACTCAGAGTTGGGGGAAGAGAAGGTCGCATCAGTAGAAAGTATAGTAAGTAAAGTGCATCCAGAGAAAGACACCCAGACACAGCCAGACCCAGGCACATCTAGTTTGCCTGTCATCTCTACTTCCATTTTGTCTTCTTTTTATTATTTCTTTATGTTTATGCAGCTTGAAATTTCATCAGTCTGTGATTTATTGGGGTGTTGGGAGTAGAAATAATTATCTACTTTAAAAACACAAATATCTTAGTTAATGACTTAACCCTAGTGTGTCTTAGTTATCTAGCTTCTTCTTACTAGTCAACTGAGATCAGCAACACCAAGGTGGAGGAGCGTGGAAGAGAGGAATGGATGGCAGGAAGAACTCGGCGGGGGCGGGGCGGTTGGACAGTTTATTCTGCATAGTCTTCAAAACATGAGTCTCAATATGGACTACTTCGATCTCAATGAAAGCCTGGGTGGGCTGAAAAGAGGGATTCAGGGAGGATAGGTGAAGTTGGAGGTTCACGACCTGACCTTGTACTAGGAATCAGAGAAACGGCAGTGCTGTCTCTTGCTTCTTTCTATAGCACTTGTGTGCTGAATAGGGGCGCTGTATTTGGCTGTCCAGCATCCATCCTCCTTTCCTCTTTCTTTTTGATTCAGATGTTGGCCTTTTCCTCTTTCAGTGCAGGAGTGTCAGGGAGGCCTTACACTACTCCCACCCCGTGATTGGCTGAATTCAATGAACATATCCCATCCCAGAGAAAGCATCTGGGGCAATGAGATGTGTGTTTCTGAGAAAGCATCATCTCTCTTCTTCTAAGAAAGCTAGTAGGAGAAACACTTTTACTTGCTTTGGACAGGGTGGTGTAAGGCTGTGGTATCCTGTTCTCTTTCAGAGTTATATAGATTTTTGTAGGTTGACCTGGAAACCTAACCAACATATATATCATTTTTATAATAGAAAATTTTCGTCTTTGGAAACACCGTTGACTTTAAGCAAACTTTTGGAAACCAACCTGTTCATCAACCCAAGAGTAATAGTGGCAATTTTTGAATAATAAGAGTCATCGATATGTACCAAAGAAGTGGAGAATCTCTTCTATAATATTTCAAAAATTTTAGAGCGACATTGTGTCCTGAAGTGATATATTAGATTAGAAGGGAATATGACACCCTGATATAAAAATGCAAGAAACTGAAGTAATTTATGAAGTGCTAGCAGCTAGCTTCATGTTAACTCTCACTGTGTGGGCATTAAATTACTTTGGATGCCACAGTAAGACGCTTCAGTACATTGTGTTATGAAAGTACCAGGTTCAAGGTCCAGTGATCAAAGCTGGGATGCTCTTAAAAAGGAGGGTCTGTCCAGCATATTGGAGAACAGGTTATTTCAGCCCAATCTGGCCCAAGGAGGGGCCCAGGACATCTGCAGATTGAGATCCGTTTGGTTCCAGGATGGTCAAGAAGGGTTTGCTTTATCCATGGATAATCTTCACACTCACATAATAAATAAATAAAATAATGACAACAGGCAATGATTTTAGAGGACTTTTCAGTCCGTAAAATGCTTTTGCACATATGTATCTCAGTTGTGCTCAGGAGAGGTAGCATGTCTGTCCTAGAGAGTCGCCAGCAGGTCAAGCAGTGCTCAGGGTCTCATAGCAGGGCTGGGACTCGAACAGCTTTTCTGACTCCCAAACATAAAACTTGAGTTTATTAACTAATCCAGATGTTTCCACTACGTCTTGCCTCAAGCTTTACTGAGAAAATTGAGACCACCAGGTGTGAGTTCCCTTGTTTCCCTCATCTACATCTTAATGTATCTTTGCAATCATCTATACTTTCTCCATTTTCTCTTGTCTTAAATAAAAGGAAAAGACGACCCCTCCCATATCCACAGCAAATTCACTGGCCTGTGTTCATGCCTCCTTTATTCTTCCCTAAGTCATCTCTGGTTTCTTTGTCTCCTGCCTCCTTCCCCTTTGCCTCCAAATGTATTGAACTCTTCCATGTACAAAAAAACAAAGCTTTTATCTGTGGTCCTATTCTTATTGTTTTCCTTCCTTTCCTTTCATCCCTTACCCTTGAGAAAAAGCAATTCTACATTCAGGCTCACCAAGCATCCCTCTCCCTTCTGCCCACATCCAGCATCTCACCACTCACCGTTAGTTCCACTTTCATCATGGCTCTAGATTTGTTTCTTCTTTTCCATGCCCAAGGAAATCATCCTAATTCAAGCCCTCATTACTCTTCTTAGGACTAAATTGTGACCCTCCAAATTCACATGTTGAAGTCCTAACTTCTAGTACCATAGAACGTGACTGTATTTGAGATGGGGCCTTTAGGGGACAATTAAGTAAAATGAGGTCATTAGGGTGGGCTCTGATCCTATAGATTGGTGTCCTTATAAGAAGAGGAGCTAAAGATACACACACGCACAGGAAAGACCATATAAAGATGGACCGAGAAGACAACCATCTACAAGCCAAGGAGGGAGGCCTCAGAGGAAACCAACCCTGCTGACACCTTGGTCTCAGATTTCCAGCTTCCATAAGTGCAAAAATAAATGCGTATCATTTAAACCCTCCCAATCTGTAATACTTTTTTATGGCAGCCCTAGCAGACTTATACAACCCCAAAACTCTAATTAGCTTATACACTTTCCATTGCTTCCCTTCCACTGTCAATGTCCTTCTGCAGGACCAAGGATAAGAATAATTTTCTTAAATCACCACTTTGACTACAGCACTCCCCTTCTCAAGAAATTCCAGTGGCTTCTTTCCACCTCTAGTAAGTTTGAAAAGCTTTCATCCTAGCGTTTAAAGCTCCCACAATTTTATTACCGTCTCCCTGTCCAGCTGCATCTTCCTTAACTTCTGACTTGAATTTCTGCTTATTTCATACTCAACTATTTGCCATACCCACCATGATTTTCCTTTGGACATCCCTTCCCTGCCACACCTTAGCATCTCCATTGACGGAATCCCCATCCACATTTCAAGGCCAAGGTCAAATGGCACCTCCAAAAAGTCTTGCCTTAACTTCTTTTTTCTTCTAAATTCTGGAGGAAAATACCATGTATTTTACTCATGGGACATATAACCCACGACGCTTAATTTATAGTAATGTGTGCCCTGGATATAACTCAACTCCTCAACTAGACTCTAGTTTCTTGGAGGACAAGGATCATTGTTTGTTTGTTTATTTTGTATTCTCTATACTTCTTGCCAGAATGTTTTATACATAGCAAGGGATCAGTAACCATTGGTAATAAATTAATAAATCAAAGTACAAGTTGAAGTGAGTACCTATTGCTTACTCACTCCTGGGTAATAAAAATAACATTTTAAGGGGCGTAGAAATGTAGAATCTAGCTCAATGCTCTACAACGGACTTTATTTATTTTTACATACCTATTGTCTTTGTTTTTATTTATCTATCTTCCGTATCTTTCCTGTGGATTGTTTTGGTTTTTATGTGGTTATGAAGAAGCGCTGGTATAGAATATTGCTCAACTTCACTTGGGTTCCCACTTAACCACTTTAGTAATATACTCATTGCATTATTTGAAGTAGCTCCTGTATAACTTCCATGCTCGAGCGTATTCATTTAATGAAGATTAAAAATGGATAACCAACCGCTTTTGCCATCATGTATATGTTATCAAGGAAAGTATGCTATTGCTTTGTAACTGTCGATTCAAAGAGAATTTCCTTTTGTTTACTGTGCTGATGAATAACCCCTGCTCCCCACCCGACTGCTCTTCAGAACAGCTCTGGCGCTGGCGGTGCTCGCTGGCTAGACAAATATATCACTGCGATTGGAAAACTATCACGAGAGGGACAGTTCCAGGCTGAAAATGAGGCAATTAGCTCTCAGCATGAAAAGGTGTGTCAGATGTTCCTGAAACTGAGTGACAGAGAATGCTGTCTTAAGCCAGGCATGATCCCGAGGGCTGATGGCCACGCAGGCTGCCTCCCCGCATGTTTCTGTTGAGGAGGATGACTTCTGAACTGAATTCCGTGCTCACCCCGGGCCACTGTGCTGGTGGGTAGTTGTGCAGAAGTATATATATATGGGTTCAAATATTCATTCTCACCATTCCCTTTATTAGTAGGAGGAATTCTGCTGCACAAATCATGTTGACTCTTCAGAAAAATCACCAGAGGAGACATTTTGTGTGTAGGTCAACAGCAGTCCCTTCCTTGGGAGAGCAGCTTTTCCACAGCTCTTGTTTCTGGTGGGTCTACCAATCATGGTTCCTGATAACCCGCCTGGAGAATCATAGCCCTGTCCTCAGCGACTGGTCACAGTGGTGAGTGTGTCACATGCACTGGGCCAGTGAGAGGCTTTTTCTGGGAATCATATATCCTGAAGCAGGAGTGAGAGTCTCCTTTCTTTGCGGTTGCCACATTGACAGGACGTAAGCCTGGGTTTAGCAGCGCCCCATGCCAAGCGGATGCAATCTGTTTGGATTAGAAGGGAAAGAAGAAGCCAATTTACCAAGATAAACAAAGACAAGTTGGAGAGAGAGAGAGAGAAAGAGAGAGAGAGGACATTATTTGCATCACTGTACCCAGCCTTCCTTATGGCCGTTTCTCCTACTGTCTTCACAATTCCATGAGTGCACAATCCTCTTCTATTCATGTGTGCTTTAAGCTGAAGAGCCAGCCCCTGGAGAAGAGGGGCTGGTGGTGGGTGTGGAAACGCGGAACACTGCCTTGCAGGAGGCCTGCCTCGGGGCCCTCCCTGTGCAGTTGTGCTTGGATATACCAGCGAAGATTGGCAGGGGGTCGGAAGTGGCCACCAGGTGTCCTAGCTCAGCCTCATGTGAGCTGGGCTGCCAGGTAGGATAGCCACAGAGGTTGTATGTGGCTCTCCAACACACAGTTTCCATTCCAAGACTCTTTCAGTCTAGTCAAGGAGATAAGACAAGACACTCAGAGAAACAGAGAACAATCGGGAGCGCCCTGCCTCCGTCCACCAACATTCACAGCCTGCTCGTTGGTGCTATGGGGCTGTGGAGAGGAGCAGACAGGCGGGGCTAGTAGGGTCTCTCAGGGTTCTTGGTGGCTGTGGTCCTTGATCAGGGCCTTGGAAGGACAGCTGGCGTCTGTAGTCAAATAGAATCCCAAGTTTTTAAATGATGGGAAAAAATTATTCTCTTCACCCTTTAGACTTTTAGAATAGCTGGAAGTATTTGCTTCCTACTTTTCTCAACGGTTTTAGGTTTTTCCTTTTGTTTTATTCTTTAATTGTCCCAAGGATTATCAGGGCCACACCAAAAGTGCAGGGCAGACTCTGCACTCATTCTGGTCTTGGCCAAACTGGGACACCCGGCTCTCACGGCTGTAGGGAAAAGAGTGTCTCTTTGCAATGAGGTCAAATGCGGGCAGGTGGCCACTTGCTCTACCTCCTTCATAGCACTGCCATGACCAATCACTAAGATCACCTGTGGGGCAACATGTAAGAAAAGCAAATAGCATAAAGCAAATACTATTATCAATCAAAGCCTCTGAGCTCTGATACCAAACATATTACCATTCATCAAATGAATGGACCATAGCCTTGCAGATTTGGTCTGCATGGTTCAGTGTGGTCCTTGCTCAGAAATGCCAAGAGCAGATGAACTTGGTGGCCTCCATCCAGACTGTTGTTCTGAATGATGATGCTAACCAATCCTTTTACTTTTCAGTATTTATTTATTTATTTATTTATTGAGGAAGATTAGCCCTGACCTAACATCTGCTGCCAATCCTCCTCTTTTTGCTGAGGTAGACTGGCCCTGAGCTAACATCTGTACCCACCTTCCTCTACTTTATATGTGGGACACCTACCACAGCATGGCGTGCCAAGCAATATGTAGGTCCAGACCAGGATCCGAACATGCGAACCCTGGGCCACAGAAGCAGAACGTGCGTACTCTAACTACTGCACCACTGGGCTAGCCCTAACTTTTCAGTATTTAAAAGGAAAGAACTTATTCGAGAAATTGTAATCATAAAGCATTTGTTTAACTCTCTTCAATTTATAAAATTACTTTATATTTATAAATTCATATTTAAGATAGATTCCAAATTTTAAAAATGGATAAAGAGGGATAAATAAAGGAAAAAGAAAAAGTATATTTGTGACAAGTACTGTTCAAAACAATTTAAAGTTTCAGGGATTAAATTCTCTTCCTACAGATCAAGAGCCCTGCGAAGACACAATTGATGTGGACTTCTCAGTTCATCCCACGTGAGTACTAACACCTTGAGTGAGATAGTGAACAGCTTCTAAAGAGATGAATCTTCATTCCAGGGATGAATATTAAATTTCACATTCCATAAAGGACTTGAGCCAGATCTGCTGCATGAAAAGCGACTCTCGGTTAATGTCGTCCGAGGGAAGGAGGGCACCTTCTCCTTGCTTCTGATTTGGATTGCCTGGCTCATACCAGCGAAAAAAAAAGGCAGTCATTTCCCCTCGTGGTCACCTCAGCTGTCTCCTTGATATCAAAGATACTACAAGCACATTTTTATTCTGGACCAGGACCAAGAGGTTTCTCAATCTATCAAGATTTATCCAAACCTACATTTGGTCACCAAGAAATGTAGAGAACATAATCTCTTGAGCTTCTTGAAACTTGTCTGGCTGGTAAAGGTGGGGAAGTAAGACTAACTCATCAGAGGAGTGACTTTATGATGGCGTGTGCCTTTTAGTCTGTACTCCTCCCCCGCCTCTGAATCAGTATGGTTTGCTCAGGAGACCTTGCTGTTAGAGAGTTAAGAGCTGATGTTGCTTCAAGTCGGGAACCTACAGACAATTGTCGCAGGTCTCGTGGATGATTCTCTGTAGGCCAGAGGTGAACGAGATACCGGGGCTGAAGCTGCTGAATAAATAACTCACATCTGGCAGGACCACATCCATGACTTCCAGAGGGAGAAACGAAATGGCACCCTTCCACGTGCCAAACAGCGAGTGAATTCATCTTGTTGATGAAATTTAAAATGTGTGCGGGACACTCCTGGCAAGGGAGAAGGAGAAATGCAATTTCCAAGTTTCTGGCCTGTGAAACATGAGAAAAAACACAGAAGGAGATGTATTGCCAACAGATACCACCCAGCCCAAACTCCATCTTCAGTATTTCTAGTTTGGTATGTTTCCTGCACCAGTCCCCGCCCCCCTTCCTAACTTTCAGCCACTGTACAGTTCTGACTGGTGCTTGCCCATTGATGCTTATTGTCCCAGATAAATTTCTTCCCTAAAAGCAAAGCAATGACCAAGTGGTCTTCAAAATAATTCTCCATTCACTTCCGTTTTCTCTCCTTTGGACCCAAACCTCCCTAATCCCTTCCACTTCTACTTTTCTTAAATAAAAAACAATTGCATAAGTAAGCATCTTAATACAGATTGGGAATGCTAATATGTGCAAAATTTATTAGATCTGATGGCAGAGACGTTACCATCATAAATGAAAGATGTTGAAAGTGTGGTAGCTATGGCTTGTTTAAAAGAGCATTAATTCAACTCAATATGACCATTTACATTTAACAAAAGACTCACGATGACCTTTTGACATACTTTTCCTCCTCTTGGATCTGGTTCGTGTGAAGAGTAAAACCATGCTAAGAAAACATGAGGATGTAGTGGTGGGAGGGTGAAAACATAAAATAGGGTAATTCTGTTCAAATCTTCAAGCTAAAGAGAGGAAATCAGTTATGCCACTTTTAGTGAAATTTTATGTCAGATCAGAGCAATAAAGGGAAATGAGTCACTGACCACATTCCCTTCCCCAAGCTAGGAGCCACAGGACAGAGGATCAATACTTCAATCTCATGTTGTTTTTGTCCTGGGTTGAAGCCCAAGGGGCTGGGGAAATGACGTTCTGTGAGTGGCTGGTGACTCAGCTATTGTGTCTACACCCAGCCCTGTGAGGCCAACGCTGGGCCTGCACGCCACATCACTGCTGTGCCCCCAGCCCCCGTCAGGTTCTGCCAGTGGGAGGCGCTAGAGGGAGCCAGGGAGGAGGAAGGAGGGAGGGCGGACCTGATCGTGTCAGCTTGCCACTCCTCCGGGTGTTCCCCTAGCTACAATTCTTCCTCTCCACAGCAGCGGCCGAATCCCGTTGGCAGTTTTGCTAACACTCAAAGAACCGTCCTCATCGCATAGGCTCAGAGCCCAGCACCAGCTGAGCGGAGGCTCCTCAGAGCTGAGACCGAGCACGGTCAGCCCAGAACTTCCAGGTCTGATACCCCAGCCACAGGGGCGGCAGCTGCTCCACCGCTATGCCAGGATATCTGGCTGTCTCTTTTGTCTATTTAGATATCTAGTTAACAACCCTATGCACAGTTTACGATTCTTTTTTTATTATTATTGTTTTGTGTGTGTGTGTGTGTGTGTGAGGAAGATTGTCACTGAGCTAACATCTGTGCCAATCTTCCTGTACTTTATGTAGGATGCTGCCACAGCATGGCTTGACCAGCTGTGCTAGGTCCACACCTGGGATCCAACCTGTGAACCCCAGCGTGCAAACTTAACCACTGTGCCACTGGGCCAGCCCCTATAATTCTTTATGTTAAATTCTCTCTCTTAAAATAACTAGTGTGGTTTCTGTCTCCTGACTGGACCCTGACTGATAGCTTGAGCAACCACCACTTTGGGAATATAGAAGGCCTTGTATTTGCTGAATGAATGAGTGAACGAATGAACAAATGGCCTCAGAGCTCTTTGGAGGCTGACCAAAGGCTCTACTCATTGCATGCTCAGAGGGAATGAACAAAAGTCCCCCTGGGAGGCTGTAGGGTGCCCCCGGGAATCGCCTCCCCTTGTCACCCCGACTCCCACTCAGCTGTCTGGACAAGCCCTTTTCCAGAACCCTCTTCTGGGCTCCCTCACCTCCAACAGGGACAGTCAGGGACAGTCTCTGGACTGTGGTAAACTTGCCCCTGGTCAACAGGGTTTCTGCAATAGGTGACTTGGAGCTATCTGGAGTGACACCCAGTTCTGCATGTAAACACCGCATTTCTGTTGTCTGCCAGGCCTGCACTTTCAACTAACTATCTGCCAAACTCTGGCGAATCTCAGACCTCATCCCGGCCCCAGGAAAGAACATAGCTGGGGGAGAGGTTGGGTTGACTATTACCCAAGTGAAGTAACACAGTAGGAAGCAAATGAACCTGATTAAAGAAAATGGAGTACATTTCTGGCTTGGCAGAGACAAAAATATATAAATAAATTTTTAAATGCACCTGAAATTTTCCCTTGTTACAACCTTACTTAGGAGCTGAAATCCTAAAACGAGAGTGCCACCTGCTGTCCATTGTCAAACCTAAACATCACAAGTATTTCAAAGCTGATGCCCAGAGCGTCAATTGTGGACAAAACATGCCAGTTAACGAGGCACGAAGGTGCATATGCATGAGGCCTAAGTCATTTAGTTTCCACAGGGTGTGTGGCCCTGCCCAGAGCAGGTGAACTTACACACATCCAGTTACTCCAGGGGAGGCATGCTCTCAAGCATCTGGCTCTTTGAAAAGGTACCTCATCCAAAGATAGGGAGTATGCCACACTTTCTGGCAAAACTCTCGGCAGATGAAACTGAAACTGGACAGTTAATGTATGGAAATAAATCATTATGGCTGTGGATGAGAGAGAATAAGATTACAGGAACCTGTTCCATAGAATGAGTGAAGCGTGGGATGTTAGCACTAGAACGGGTCTTAAAATATTTTTTACAAGAGCAGTAGCAAACTGTAAAAGTAGGTGAAGTGGGTGACAGCTTATAAATGCCATTTTGGGGTATTGGAGAGGTTGGTGCCTATGAGAGAGCGTTGAAAATACAGAGTGGAGATGATGAGGACGATAAATGTTATTTGTTAACCCCCTCCCAGGATGAGGAAGAAAGACCACCTTTCCCTATCTGTTTCTGAAAACCCTTAACAAGAAATGTGACAAATTTACAGGCAAAATTAAAGGTGAAGATTAAAATGCAAATATCACAGAAAAGAAGAAAATAGACTCATATGTGTTACTGCAAAGAGCAAAGGGTTTTACATTTTCTTTCCTGAAACAATGTTGGAGTGGTGCATATGCGTGAGGGGTGTGTCTAGCCTGAGTGAGTGAGAAATAAAATAAACCAAAAAGGATTGCAATGGTGATCAAGTCAAGGGGGCAGAAGGCAATTCAAGGATGGATGCATCAGACCAAGCACAGCTCGTCACTCTGTGATCAGGACAGGAGAACTCGTGCAAGCGGACAGCGGGCATGCCTCCTCGTTATGCTGCCAGCTTAGCCCTGCCCATAGCCTGGGAAGTGTGAGGGGGGCCCATGATGGCCACAGTCCTGCTTACAAAGCCAACAATGTACGTAACCTCTGGGATAATTTGATGCTATGGTCTCCAATGTAACAGGGTTTTTTCTGTTTTCTCTTTTCATTTTTATTTTGTGTGGAACTCATTTCACATCCTTGAGGTAGGTGTGTGGTTTATCTATAGTTTCCCCATTACTGTCCACAGGTGTACATGCCGTCTCTCTGCTACCTGCACATAATCCATCACGACTCTCTGTTCACTGGCACGTGAACAGAATCAAGTGATATTCACAGCGAGACACCATGAGACCCTAAGGTGCTTCTAAATCGTCAGTGATCAGATTATGTTCAGTGAAATATTGGTGTCAAGTATGTTTCCCTGTGATCCAATTTCCTAGAATCGAACACCAACATTGCTAAATGTGACATTTGGTGACTCACTGTAATCCAGGATATCAATTGAATGGAATTGCTCTTCCAAGTGTGCTTACGCATCATTTGCAATAGAAGCAAATGAAGTTAAATTTGTTTCCATGCCTATATAACATTTTCGTTTCAATGATAATTGAAGGCTTTCAGGGCAATAGAAATTTACCTGAAGGTAAATCTCAAAAAATTATTAAAGCATACCAAAGCATGTCAGTCATAACGGGTATTTTCATGATATTGATAACATTGACTTAGCAAAACTAATTGGAGAGCCTACAGTGCCTCAGACTTTGTGCTCAGCACCATGGGGGAGAAAGACTGAGTAAGATGTGATCCTGCCTTCTCTGAATAGTTTGTCCAAATCGCCTCCTTCTGCAACCCCTCCACCATCTATAGGCTTAACCTGGATTTATTTTTCTCCATAGCAGTTAACACTATCTGAAATAACATATGATGGTTGTGTAGCAAAATAATGTAACGAACACCCATGAACACATCAACAGCTCACATTTCTTTCCTTGTTGGTTTTCGATCTCTCCCAGGAGTGAGGTCTATGAGGAGAGAGACTTCATCTGATCCTCCACTGAATCCCCAGGGACGAGAAGTACAAAGTAAGTGTTCAATAATTGTTTGTTGATCCAGGAATCATGGTTAGACAAATCTATGTCAATATATATTTTGGGGTTTTCTATACTGGCTTATTTTTTCCATGGTAAGTAAACTCAGCTGTTCCTGGCTTAGCAAAATGATTATTGAAATTGAGTAGGTGCTTTAATTGCCCTGCATGGCACATTTATAAAAATGAGACATTTTCTAATTCATATATATCTTCCTAACTCATTCATTTTTCTACCAAATTATGTCTCTCACATTATGAAACACATCCCTTGGACTTTTGCTTTCTGGTCATCGTAGCCTTTTCACATTAAGATATATAAACTCCAGAAATATCATTAATTTGAAACAGATCAGATCCTGGACATTTATGTTAACTGATCTGCTGTGCAACCATTTGTTGAGTGAATACTGTATGCCACAGGAGTGCCAGCACTTTGCATATGGTCCATTTTAGCTAAATTTATTCTAAAAATAAATGTTATCCTCATCTTGCAGGTAAGAAAACTGAGCCTCACGCCAGTTTAGTAATAAACCTAAAGTTTGACATCAAATGAATGTTAGATCCTGGGTCAAACTCTTCTGACTCTCATATCCAGGCTTTTCCATGACCATTCACATGTATACTTTATATTGTATAAGATGGTATACAATAAAAAGTGCTAAAATCTTTTCTCACGTAAAAGTGGAGCACAAACAATATTGTTTGTATAGATCAGTAATGCCAGTTTACCAGTTAATATGACATTTTCTCCCACTGATTATTAACTTGTGACTGGGGCTGCCTCAGGTGGGTGATTCAGGCAAGGCAGGGGAGAGTAGGGTGCCACAAGCCCTGGGGTGCAATGAGCTTGGGGTGCAATGAGTTTGGGAGGCAGCCAGCTCAAGTGTGCTATGAGCTACGGGGTGCTACGATTTCAAGGGTGCTATGAGATCAGGGGTGCAATGAGCTCAGAGGTGCTAAGAGTTCAGGGGGCATTGAGCTCAGGGTGCTATGAGTTCAGGACGCTTTGGGTGTAGCAGTCGGCGAGCTGAGGGGCGCTAGTTTTCACGGCAGGCCTGCATTATGGCTTTCATGAGCCCTAGGCATTTTTGTCTTCGTCTGCCTCTTCCTCCATAAAAATTATTAAAAATTATATTGTTTGACTGTGCTAGTATAAAGACAAATATAACACACACTGGATTCATTATTACACGTTTGTTATTATTATATTCAGTTTTCTTCTGATTTTAAAAGAAATTAGAGTTTAAACACATTCATGGGCCCCACCAACTATTGTGGGCCTGGGCCTGCTGGAGAGTGGGTAAATTGGCCCTGAGGAAGGGGGTTAGGCAGTGCTTCCCACATTTTATTTTTTCTAATGTGTATTTTTTTCTACTTCTCTAATTCCCATCATGAGAAAGTTATTTGTTTAGATCATATGCCTATTAAGGCATAAATGTTATTGGAAGAATAGATGTTAAGTTAGCACCCTATGTACAATTTAAATAGACAAGAGCAGAGATGAGATGCCAGGGCCGCAGGTGGGCTTGGCAGAGGGCCTGCAACCACGCTCTTTGGGAAGACGCCACCCCGTCAGCTTCCTACAGAGGGACCAAGGGCTTGCCCGGCGAGATCTTGGCTATCTGTCTACACATCTTGTCCCACTTCTCCTCTTGTGTTCTTATAGAAACCAACAAATTTTGGCCCATTTCTTCTCACTCTTTTTGCTAACATCCACCCACATGCGTGCACACACAGGCATTAAAGTTTGAATCATTCTGTATATATAGATTAAATTCTGCATATTTTCCCTTGTCCTTAAAACTTTACTGTTTTTATGGCTCTTCACTAAGACTTGTGTTTTAAGTGTTTTGTAAATCCATTGGGTTTTCCAAAGACTTGGAAGGCATAGCCTATTTTAAATCTAACAAGAGTTTCTTTTAAGCTATAAAAATATTACATCATACGTTTCCCTAACTACCAAAATTAAGCCATGACATGATAGCTTTTGTGTACATGACATAAGATGAGGTATTTTGCGTTGTTTTAATTCAAAGTTACCTCCTATATCCCAGACTTTATTAATAAAATCTGGGATTTTAGACCAATTTTCTCTTATTACTATTTTTCTACCAAATAAAATTCTATACTAAATCTGAAATTTTTCAGGAGACTTTCAAGCTAAATTTATAACAAACTCATAGGTTTTATGCTATATTCATAGATTTATGCTAAATCTACAATTAGCAGCTTTCATTGTTCACCATTTGTCCTTTTGTATCACAATTATCCATTCACCAATAGCAGATAGTTTCTTGTTTGGCTAGAGGACATCTAAAGCAATTTTTACCAGAATAGTACGTTAATGCCTATTTCTTGAACCTTAAATATTTGGGAATATCTTTCTGTTGCCTTCATATGGAAAATAACCCAACGGGGCATATATTTAGGGGTTGCAATTGCTTTGCCTCAAAAGGTAAATGTTCCATCATCAGATCTTAGTATTCAATGATTCTCTAGTTTCTGAACTTCTCTAGATAACCTATTTTTTCTGCGTGAGTTCTTGTTGGATTTTTTTCCTGATCCCAGCAATTCAAAAATATTGTAAAGACGTCTCATGTCACCGATGCCTCAACTTGGCAACCTCTTTCTAAATTGCACACTCAGGTCTTTTTTCAGCCCAGGCTCAGGAAAGTTCTCCTCCTCTCCCCCAATGATGTCTTTGATTATTACTGCATCTGCTCCACTTGTCGTCTCTTTGCTGGGGAACAGCCCTCACTTCTCTCACACGCTTGCTTGTTATCCCCTCCCCACCAACAGCGCCGTGAGTAGATGTCAGTATCCCTGTTTTACAGATGAAAGATTCGTCCAAATCCACACACGCAGTACATACTGGGACTGAGCTTCAAGTGCGCATGACCCAAAGGTCAAGCTCTTTGACCCCTACACTGTACTCTCGTCTTGTACTGTCAACACCACCCGCGTCCTGGTCTTTGCCTGCAATTCTCTTTCCTCTCCATTCTGGGAGGGCCACTCGGTTAGTCTTGTCACCGTTGAGCAGTTTCCAAGGTGTCATTCTGCTCTTCACTGGATCCAGGGAGATTAATTTAGCTTTGAATTTCTAGTTCCCTGTAATGCTTACTTCTTTTATTATCTCACTTTTCTTCACATTCTGTCTCGGTTGCCTCTCGGTCCATTCTCCTTTAGACATTTTGTTCCTGTTTCAAAAAGACAACACAATTTTTCATCCTATGAAAGATGATCATTTTTCTCTAAAATGGTCTAGGAGTGTTTGCAGAAAAATATCACTTCCAGTGAAATTTTAGCATGAAGTTCACTTCCTTTGGTCTGTAAGTTTTTTTCAAAGGCTCTCTTGTTTGCTGTTTGCTTGCCCAAGAACACAAAGCAGCACAAGAGGAGGAGATGAGCAGCTGTGAGCTCCTGTCCCCACTCTGTTCCACTCCTAGAAAGAGCAGGGGACATCCCATCCCTCTCACTTACCTGTGTCTCTGGGGCTTGCATCCAGCATGTCTTTCCTACCCGCCCTGTCTGACCTTCTGGCTCTTTGTAATATTCGAGCACCTGAAGAGGAGCAGCCGCCACGGGGCTCTTCTGGACTCTGTCCTCTTTAATTGTGATTTGAGGGCACTACTCCCTCCATAAGGCAGTGTTCTTCCTTAGAGATCGCAGAATTATCTAACTGGGTCAGACAAAAGTACTGTTATGGAGAGGAGGAAGACAGAATTTGACTGTGTCAAATAGTTGCATCTGGAGAGTCGAGGCCTGTTTGTTACAGACGGGGCCGATGTTGGGGGAAGGATGAAAGGGACCCCAACCTCCTCCAGCCAGCAGGAGCACTCCATTGCTGGGGGCCCAGCTTCTGCTTTCTCCACTGAGTCCCATTAGTCCTACAGTTTGCAGAAATTCTTCCCAAACTCTGGCGGGAGATGGGCTGCCAGTCCCGGTGATGGGGTTGTGAATAGATTCTCCCCTTATAAATTGAAAGTTATTTCAGTGGGAGATGAGGGGAACTGAATCAGGAGCTGCTGGCAAAACTTTAAATTGGAAACCTTCTTTGCATTTCCTCCCCCCAATATAAAAAATTACCGCATCACTGTCTAATTCCAAGAGAACTTAACATAGAATGTTTTAAGTGTGTACTCAAGAAACAGATAAAAGGGAAAGAATGATACTGATATGATAAAGTGCCCACTGCACTATAAGAATATTCCGGCCTGTCTATCCATGTCTGGGGCATCACCCTGGGGAGCAGATCCAGTGGGAGCCGAATGCTGTGGCGAATGCTTGGTCATGGTGCCTCTAGGAAGTCCACGGTAACTCATTCAGTATGCAGTGTAACTGCTTAATGAGAAGACCCTCCTGCTGTCACTACCAGCACCAGCATCAGACATGGTTCCAGAGACCCCCAGAACGCCCTCAGAAAGGCCTGCCCTGGGGGCACCGGGCTGGTCTGGCACCCTCACTGTTCTGGGTCTCTTGGGAACAGCATCTGCCCGAAGCAACTGAAACTGTGTTTGAGAAGAGATCAAATACTGGAGGAGATATGAAGCCACTAAAAGGATGGAGAATAGAAAATAAGGTCTCTGGGAAGAGGTGGGTTAGGAAACAAGGCCAGGTCAGTGCTCTAGGGAGGAGCCAATGGTGAGGGGAGGCGAGAGATTAGCGGAAATCGTAGCGCAATAGGCAGGGCAGCAGAGGCTACTCGGAAGGGCCAGGAGCACCGCCCGTCCCTCCCTGAGGGTCTGGATAGTTGAGTCAGGGGCAAACTGGGCATCAGAAAAAAAGATTAAATAAAGATCCCACATTAGTGTGGGAAGGTTCCTAAGATACGTTACCAAAAAACCTTCTTTATTTTGTTCAGGGATCTTGAAACAAACCAACAGATGCACAAATGAACAATCAAGTACCTATGTACTCATTTTACAACTTTCTCAATTCCAGCATGCCTTGAGGTTCCAGAAGCCATGAGGCAAGTGATGTTTGCCATTATCTGCCATTCCAGAGGAACATCTTAAAACAGCTGTTTTAGGCACTTCTGCAAAGTAAGGGAATATGGTTCTTGCCAGCTCCTTGTCTAAATAGAAACATTTCAGTGATGCAGCCAGTAAAATTGGTAGCCTTTGATCTCTAAAGGCTGTGACAAGACCCTGCTTTGCTTGCAAATAGCAGAGCTAATTATTTTCCCGCCTTTGATAGGTATTTGGCCACCACCCCAAACTACATAATTGGCATCGTCTACTTTTGTCAAACAGAAATACCACAGATGAAGCTCTGGAACTACCACACAGAGAAGTATATGCTATCTGGGTCTGGCTAATTAGATAATTTTCATAACCTAAATGCACCCCAAAATTCACGCCAGTCGTGAAAGAATCAATCAATGAAATGTTTGTGCCAAGAGCCATCTCTCTGGCCTCCCATTTGGCTTCCAGCTTTCCTGCAATTGGAAAACACATGTGGTGAGTTCAGATCTGGCAGGGGGAGGACTGGGCAGCGAAATCCCAGGGTGATTGGTAGTGACAAGAGCAATACCAGTCCATGTCACATGCAGGATTCTGGCCATTGGTAAGTTTGCAATTGTACTGTGGAAAGACCTACAAGCCAGCAAAAGGGGCCACTGGGACACAGCGACAAGTCAAGTGACTTTGTCTCCTTTAGAGGCAGTACTGTTTAATTATTGAATGAAAATAATCCAGAAATGAATTCCAACTGCTTGATATATAAATTGATAATGGTGCTGTGGGGCCGGCCCTGTGGTCGAGTGGCTAATTTCCTGCACTCTGCTTTGGTGGCCCGGGGTTTTGCCGGTTCGGATCCTGGGCGCAGGCATGGCACACTCATCAAGCCATGCTGAGGCGGCATCCCACATAGCACAACCAGAAGGACCTACAACTAGAATATACAACTATGTACTGCGGGGGCTTTGGGGAGAAGAAGGAAAAATAAAATCTTAAAAAATAAATTACATAAGAAATGCTCAAATACATTCTTATCTCATCAGGGAGTGCTTTAGATTAACAAAGGTGAACATTCTAACATTACCGGAGGGGTTACTACATCATGTTAAATATTTCATCTGTCTGATATCACTTTACTGACTCACCACTATAATTTACTAAATCAGCCTCCCAGTCAAACTATTTGAAAAACCACATTTTTCACAGTGGGGTTTGACTTTCAGTGTCCTCTCTGGCCGTGCCTGCAAACGTGCATCTTCCCTTCTTCCATCTGCTTGCTGTTTTCCACAAGTGGCATGTGGGAGGCAGTAAATCCCTGGCTACGTGAGTGGATCAGGTAGACAGGTTGAGAAGTCAATGGGAATGAGGCAAAGGGAGGTGAGGGCACATCAGAAGCGGATGTGGATGGGCATCTGGTCAGTCTGTTGGACAGAGTCAGGACTCGGCACTAAGAGTGGAAATAAGCGGCTGCCCCCAGCCCAGATGCCTGAGGCTGCAGCAGGCAGTGAACTGACAACTTTCATCCTTGGAGCAACTGGATGCCTCAGTCTGAAGTCATCCAGAGTGTTGGTCCTACTGAAAGCTTCTGATAGGACAGCAACGCACCTTTGTCTGTCTTGCCAAGATTGACTCATTCTGTAACTGAGTACTTTGTCCATTCATCTGAGGAGTATTTGTAGGACTACTATGTGCTAGGCGTTTTAGAATCAATGATGATCAAGATATGGTCTCAGAACTCATGGACTTACACAGTCAAGTGAGATCACTGCTGTTTCCCTTGTGCCAGATGCATTAGAGGGACCATTTTCAATCCTTCCAGCAACCCTGCAATGATAGGTATTATCAGCCCTATGTTACAGATGAGAAGTTAAGTACCTCTTGTGAGTTCATGCAGCTACGATGTTAACAGCCTACCATGTGGACTCAGATCCTTGTGACACCAGAGTCTGAGCTTTTTGTTACAGAAGGGGATCCTACTTACCTAAACAAAGCACAATGGGTGTTATCTTTCGTGTGGATCTACAGAGTCAAAGGGCAGTGTAGCCCCACCTAGGACTTCTCCTTGAAAGAGTGAAAAGACTCTTCCTCTTTTGTGCTCATTGAGGTCTAATGGGAAGCGTTCAGGGTTTCTTTGGCCTGACTAATATCTGTGGGCTTGGGTTCTTTTGTTGGAAACCTCTCCCAGTGTTCTGCACCCCTTACATCTACAACCACAAGGAAACTGGGCCCATGTTCACTCTAGGAGGCTTTAATGGAGAGGAAAACATGGTTGTGGAGCAAAATGTTTCAATCAATGGGATATTTTTGTCATTTTTCAGAGATTTTAGTAACCTGGATACAATCTTATCTACCACAGCAAGTCAAGACAGGTTTGTTCAGGCCTTCGCATAAGGCATGAGATGGATGCACTTCTATCCTTGTCTCAGAGACAGGGCCAGAGGTCTGAGCTAATGTGAAATTTCTGTAATTGTAATTAGGTTATTATACTGAATCACTTTTATTCGTAAAATATAAATGATCCATTAAATCCCAGTCCTAATTTCATCCTGTTCCCCTTTCTTTTAGACAGAGTGCAAACAGAGCCTACAGCAGCATTTAAATGATGGCAGTGTCATCTCTGCATGGCCTTGGTCCTTTATAGCTGAATCCTTTACCATCTCTCACCGGGTGGCACTGTTTCTTCAATTACTACTCCCTCGTGGTCTTCTGAGTGGATTCTTTTGATTAGATCCACCAGGATAGATTATGCTGAGGAAGGTAGTATACCTTACAAGCAGTTAACCATTCGCATGACCACAGAATAGAAAGGAAAAGAAATAATGCTATTCATCACTTACATCTCAAAAAAGAATGATCACCTTCCAATTAAACAAATCTATTTAAAAGAATTGTGTTCTCAACTATTTAAAAATAGAATAGCATACCAAAATCTGGATAAAAGTAGATATAACAAAATATGAATAGTAGTTACTTCCAGAAGGTGGGATTAGTGGTGGTGTCAACCTTCTTACTGATATTTTCCCATTTCATTTAGTGTCTGTAATAAGCATGTGATATTGTTAAAATCAGAACAAAGAACAATAAACATTTTATTATTTTATTAAATCTTAGTTTATGAAATGTTACCAAAAACATTCAAATTTAAACTGTATATTATACACACAGGAAGAGACTTGAAAGCTAGAGGTGTAACTTGACATTCCCATAAAGTCTCGGTTCCAGGATTTTGTCTCTAACATCATGGCAAAACCTGAATCATGATCCCACATAAAACAAATTTAAAATTTGGATATAGTATTTTAAAAAATTGTTTTAGATGCAGCAGTGACCTAGAAAGTGGAAATTCAGAGAGGGAAGGGAATCACTGAGGCAGCCATTTTCAAAACTAAAGTGTTTGCCAAAACTAGCTGAACCTGAGCTTAAATTTACCATAGCTTCTTAGGGCATGAGGAAAAGGAGACACAGCCTGGAGTCTGCCCAAGGGAAGAAGTCTGCCTCCTACCTTCAAAACAACTTAAACTCCAACCAGATGGCTAACCCTCAAGATAAAGGTGAGCTAGAAATAAACCCACATTCCTACCCCCAGGAGATAGCAAGAGAAATGTCCAGTTGTAAAGATTTTGGCTGAGCAGAGAAAAAAATTTCCACCTAGAATCCATAAAGACATACATTAACTTAAAGCCATCCCAGGTGGAGGAGGCACTCAAGAATCAGCAGAAGCAAATGCAGGTCCTCTCTAGAGGAATCCCCTCCCCACTTTCAACCTGATTTTCAGAGGATTACTTCAGTTCATTCAGATAAAGCTCCACAGTGAAAAAATCACAAAATTTACAAGGAAACAAGACCTACGAGCAAAAGGCAACAGAAACGAAAACAAAAATTAGCACAACTGAATTAAGACACTAGATATTGGAATTATCAGACAATGAATATAAAATAAGTATGTTTAATATGTTAAATGACATGGAAGGGAAAGGATTGGAAACAGTAATGAGGAAAAGGTTAGAAAAGAAGACCTAGCAGATCGGAATGAGAACCAAATACAATTTCTAGAATTTAAAAATATAACAATTAAAATTAAAAATTCATTTGATCTGTTTAACTGCTCAAGACTTAGCTGAAGAGAAATTAACAAACTAGAAGATGAACCTGAAGAAATTTCCCAGAAGTCAGCCTAGAGAGAAAAAATGATGGAAAACATGAAAGAGAGTTTAAGATCAATGATAGAGTGAGAAAAAATATAGCAAACACTGAATCAGAGTTTCAGAAAGAGTGGACAGAATAGGGAGAGGCAATCATATAACTGCTGAGAATTTTCCAGAACTGAGGAAAAATGTCAATCAACAGATTCAAGAAGTTAGTGAATCCAAACCAGTCTGATCAATAAAAATAAAACACTAAGAGACATCATAATGAAAGTGAAGGAAAACAGAGAAAAGTAGAGAAATCATAAAATCAGTCAATAGATAAAAGATAAATTGCCTAAAAAGAATAGCAGTTAGACTGACAGCTGACTTTTCAAAAAGAGCAATGGAAGACGACATAGAGTGGAGAGACATGAAGGTGCTAAAAGAAAATAACACTCAGCCTCGAGCTACATCCCCAGAAAATATCACTCAAGAAGAAAGACAAAACAAATACATTTTTAGATAAATAAAAACTAATGGTATTTTCCAATGACCATTAACATGCTAGAGCATGTCAGGAAAGGAAATTTGAAAGGACATACATTGGTTAAAGAAGAAATGTGATTCCCAGATAGGTGGTCTAAGCTGGAATGGTAAGGCAAAAATGCGCTAAATATATGGGTACAACTAACAAACAAAGACTGTCGTAAACAATAATAAAAATGTGTGATTTATTTTAAAAAGAGAGAGAACTAAAATACAAAATGTGAAAAAATGTAGAATAAGTAGAAAGAGAAGTAATCAGAATTAAAGTATTTTAAATGGCTTGTATAGATGGACCGTAGAGATACAGATTAACTTTAGACTTTGACAAGTTAACTGAATAACTTCCCAACTAGCAGAGCAAAAAATGAAATGGGGAAAAAAATTAAATCTAAAAGAAAGGAAGAAAGGAAAGAAGCAGAAACCTGTAGATAGTAGAACAAACAGCACCAAATAGAGAGTAAAAAAAAATAATCTCAATTCCATACAGAATTTAGAGCGCCACTTCTGGAACACTGGAGTTGTTAACCTTAAGATACGCGGGCAAAAGGAAAAGTCAGAAGTTGATCAGCCTCGTTCCTCGAGGCACCGCTGTGAGAGTGGGAAGGTCTGGCTCTTCGAGCCACATGAACCTTCTTCAGGATCACCCCACCATCAAAACTCTACTGAAGCAAAAATCACATCCTCTGAACTCATCCACAAGCCTTCAGGATTCCCTGTGTTCATGAAGGAGCAAACCTCAGAATCTATAATACAGTCCATGGGTCGGCAAACTTTTTCTGAAAAGAGCCAGATAGTAAATATTTTAGGCATTATGGGCCGCTAAGGTCTGTGTTGCAACTACTCAACTCTGTTTCTGTAATGTGAATGCAGCCAGAGACAATGTGTAAAGGAGAGGCTAGGAGCGGCGCTACACTCCAATAAAACTTTATTTGCTCAAACAGGCAATGATCCAGAATTAGTCTGCAGCCTGTAATTTGCTGACCCTGATTTAGTTCAAAAGGCACAATTAGAGGAGACACTTTACTTCATTTAACAATATTAATTCCAGCTTTCAAATAGACTTGGAAAATGCCTTCTGTAATATGGTCTCTGTGGCAACTGACCCCGCTGACCACATGTAAGGAACTATTTTAGGCAGTAGTGGGGCTGTGCCAGGTAATTCACACATCCCATGTGGCATCCACGATGCCACAAAGCTACCAACAGAAGGCAAGAAAGAAGTGGTCACTTAATTGGGTGCCATCTAACGTGTCCCTCACAGCCACATACCTACAACTGTGCGTAGACGATGCTGTAATGTCAGCCCCAGAGGCTATGGATACTTCCTGGGCGACATTCCAGCACAGTAGAGGGATTAGGCTTGTCTAAATATATTGATAAATAGAGAGGAGGACAGATGGCTCTACCTCATGACTCTTGAAATTAGAGGCACAGCAAAAGGAGAAGAGGTGAGTGACATTAATCCCCTTCAACCACTTAACAAGGAATGCCACAACAGCATTTCAAACTTGCAGCCTGGGTGTCTATTATCCCAGAAACACACCTCAGAATGGGCACAAAGGGATCCCACTCAGAGTGAGTCCTGGGGTGAGAGAAAGCAGTGGTTAACCTGGACCTTCCCAAGAAAGGTTTCCTACAGCAGAGTGAAATAACGTCAGAGGATTCTGAATGGAAACCAGAGCCAGAGACAAAACTGGGAAAATGAAAGGCTAACATATGGAGGCTTTCAGGAATCCAGATGAACGCAAGCTCTGGAAGAAAAGGGCCTTGAGCTTGAGAGGACCGTGCTGGTGAACGAGGCGGAAAGAGTAAGAAGCAGAATCAGCCTCAGAGTTGGGGGTGGTACGTGAGGATTCCGCAGTGGGCCACCCGCCCTAGGCACCCTGGAGAGCTGTTGACCTCTTTCTTGCTGGTTCTTGCTCTCTCCCAGTGAGGGACAAACTGTGGAATAGCGTGCCTAGACAGGCACTTCTTACAAGGATATCCGGGGGTATGGATTTTCCCATGGGATGGGACTAAACTTTGCCATACATTTAAAATGTTTTCTTCTTTTGACTTGGACTACGTAGTATAAAAAGTACCCGCTATATCAGCAGCCAAAGCAACTCATCTGGGACTTACAAGCACCATCCATCATATGTGGCGTTTTGATCCAGTGTTCTGTCTGAGGCTTGAAATGACAGAGCTGCCAGCATATGTGAAATGTGCCTTCGCTGTTTGCTGTTGCATTTCATCCTTGATTTACTGTCACTTGTGGAGGTATTGAACACGTTATTGAAGGGCTGAATTGATGTCTACAACAGTCCTTCAGCTGTCTTCGATTTTCAGAGCCAAGTATTTTAACAGAATCGCTACAACTGAAACCAGAGTGTAAAAACGTTTGTATTTGTTTATTGGAAAACAATCAATAAACTATTCCTACAATGTTTGAAGACCTGTCTGTATCAGAAATGACAGATTTCATATCAGGATGGGTTGGCCTGTTTCAAGCTCCGAACAGTGAAGACGCTCTGGAGCCCAGGACACAGTGGGCTTAATGTGATCAACCATAGGGCCCAGCCTGGACCGTGATCCTGGACCGTGATCCTGGAGCGTGCACAGACAGCAGTGTGTCTGGAAGCCCTGGGAGACGGCTTCCAACCTCAGCTCAAAGAGTCACCAGGAAGACTATGGGAAGAGAGGGAGACAAGGAGAGGATGGGCTGCCTGGACAACGGCAAAGATCTCTCTGCCAGCACGCACCCCAGAGCAGAACTTCTTTCCCAGCAAACACCAAGGGAGTCTGGGAGTGCGCCTAGGCGACCTGTGGACACTGGGGAGCCTAGGGTGAGGGGCGCACATCTGAGTCCCCCTGACTCCAAAGTGGTCTGAGTTTGGGCATTAACCACGAGGAACTCAAAAAGCAACGTCTAGAGAAATATGGCGGGGTGGTGGGGGGAGTAAGTTCCACGCACCTGAAGCGCAAAGTCTGTCCTTGGAGGATTTAAGCACATGCTGCTGTGGCGCCAAAACTAAGGGCTCTCTTAGAGGAACATGCTGGTTCTGTTACAGGACGGCACCGTCCCAACTGCTACAGCAGGGAGAGTGCCGATGAGAAGGGAAGAAGCAAAGCAGAGTGTCAAAGGCAGAGGCCTTCCCAGAACCGGACAGGACTGCCCCAAAGGCTCCTGGGCGGGAGAAACCAGGGCCAGCGGGAATCCGCCGCCTGCCCCTCCCCCGCCCCCGCGTGCGAGAGCCCGAGCCTGTGAATTCCACCGGCCTCTGGTTTCACCCGCTCTCACCCACCCCTCCTGTCGCTCATTTGCTCCCGCCTTGCCTCGCACTGATTTCTAATTCTGCCCACAAGGGCGCTGCCGTAGATGGTGCCTCCTGTTGGAGTAGATCCTGACATTTCCCTAAGGTCACGTTCGCTGAGTGGCAGCAGCCAGGAGATGCGCCCAGTGCTGCCCCCGGGAAACCAGCTCCTCCAGGCTAGGAGAGGCGTCAGCCCCCAGCTCGCTGCTCCCAACGCCTCACTATGGGCGCCCTCTGTGCCCCACTTTCCTCAGGGAAAATAACCAATTAACAGGATTGCTGTAGAGACTAACTGGGAGATGTAAATCACTAGGATTCACCAATACCCACAGTGGGGGAGTTGGTAGTAATACCGAAAACTACCCGGATGTGCTTGAATATTAACGGTCTCTTTCTTAAATTCACATTCAGGTGCACGGACTGAATTTAATCACAGTAAACTGCATAGCTCTCTTTACTTCAGTCTTTTCCTCTAAAGTTCTGACGAAAGAAATCTTCTGTGTCCTATTAAGGGGAGCTATCTAAGCACAAATGAAAGGGGTCCCAGTCGCAACCCGATGCCCTCCCTGGGGAGATCAGGGACCTGTACCTGAGAGAAAACTGGGAGCAGTGGTTGAGAGCGCCGTTCCTGGAATCAGACACACCCGGAGTCAGGGCCCAGCTCCTTCACTTACTAGATTGACAAGCAATTTAAGCTCTTCAGGTCTCAGTCTCCCAACCTGTAAAACGGGGTGATGGTATCTGTATACTAGAGAGCTTATAAGAATTAAATAGACCTGACTCATGGTAAGTACTCAATAAATTACCTGCATTTCTGTTATTATCCTATTTAACTATTATCATTATTTAGTCCACATACCACCAGCTAAGAAACATATGTAGGTAAACTGTAGCAAGCAGATAATGTCCTCTACCAAACAAACAGTGAACAAGATGATACTGCCAATGGTGGCCATACTGTCCCCAAGCTAATCATTTATTTATTTAACTCATGACTGTGAGTTTAATTATGTATGCACTGTTAATGTTAAAGTTAACCTAAATAAGTGATGAGCACCTCGTATGTTTATTCTTTACTTCTCAAGTAGAAAATTTTTTAATGAACATAACTTTGTTTTATCTTAAAAAGCACTTCTTAATCAAGGACACACATACATCACTTAGTTGATAAAACAAATTTCAACTAAGGCACACTTTCCAAATGAATGATTTCTAATAATCGGATGTGAATGCATTCTTTACAATGTACTAAGTACATAATGGGGGCCAGGAACAAAGTTCTATGTGGGGTAAGGTGGCAATGAAATAAGGCAGATATGCTGCCTACCGTCACGGGTGGGAGGCAAACATTATGCAAAATATACGTCCATATGCGTATATGTGTAATTATATATGCATTTAATTATACGTGCACACAATCACAACCAGACCTGTGCATATAATTTCAGTTGTAGTCAGGACTATGAAGCAAACGTGAACGGTCAGGGAAAGCTCTCCTGAGAAAGTGTGTTGAACTGAAACCTGAAGGGGGAGGAGGCTTTGGCCAGGCAGGGTCACCCAGGGGCAGGGAACAGTGTGTTTGAAAGTCCTAAGATAGGACCGTGTTGAGACTGCCCAGGAACTAAAGAAGGCCATATGGGTGCACATTCATGAGAGAACAGAGGGGTGCGTAACGAGTCTGAAGAAATAGTGAGAGCTGGAGTTGGCAAGAGCCTGTAGATCGTAGGATTTTGCATTTTATTGCAAGTTCATACTGAAGGGCTTTAAGCAGGGATCTAACATGATCCAATTTTCATTCTTTAAAATCCCTCTTTGTGCCTGTGTGGAGGATGGAAGGAAAAAGGGGCCAAGAGAAGGAAATAGGGAGACGAGAGTGAGGCATGATGGACAGGACGGTAGTGGACGAGCAGTAGAGAAGGATTTGGAGGAACAATCTCAGGAGTGGGCTATAGATTCTATGGAAGAATTAAGAGAGGGAGGCGGCTGGACGGAATCTCGGGTTTCTGGGTGGATAGAGGTACCATTTATAGAGGTGGAGAACAAGGGAGAAGGCTCATATTTAAGGGAGAAATATCAAGGAATCAGTGGACTGGACTATTTGCATAGTGAGCCCCTGTTATCAAATTGTCTGAGCACAATTTTTGTTTTCTTTGTCAGGAATATTGGCCCTGAGCTAATATCTGTAGCCAGTCTTCCTCTTTTTGTTGGAGGAACATTGTCCCTGAGCTAACATCTGTGCCAATCTTCCTCTATTTTGTATGTGGGACGCTGCCACAGCATGGCTTGATGCGTGTTGTAGGTCCACGTGGGATCCGAACCGGTGAACCCCAGCCTGCCAAAAGTGAGTATGCAAACTTAACCAGTATGCCACCAGGCTGGCCCCTACAAGCGTTTTTAAAGAGATATGTATGGAGAAGAAGTTTAGATTAGATTTGTTTTAAGGTTTGTTTGTTCCAATTCTAGAGCTTGCAACTACTGAATGGATGTTAGCCTGAGTAATAGCAAAAAGAGAAAAAACATAAATATTTGTCCACTCCTTGACCTATGGACTTGGGTATAAACTACAACTTTTTTTTACCTTCAATATGAAACTAGTTGACATTTCTCTGCCTTATACAGTATTGTTGCATTATATGAAAAATTGAGTTTTAAAGATTTGAAATAATGTGGGAACATTATTAATAAGGCCTCATTTTTGCACAAAACTCAAAATAATATTAATCCTCTAAGTAAAAAAAAAAAAATCAAGAATTTCCATTTCAAAGCTGATAAATCCTGTCAATTTTGAACTGTGTTTGTGTTACTTTCCTGTGGCTGTGTCACTTTATCTGGTAAACGGAAATGTTGATTATTCTTTTCTAGAATTAGTGATGAACTATGACAGTTTTGAATTAGGCAAGATAAAGAAAACATCCTCACTTATATTGAGACTTCCTATGTAGCAGAATTACAGGATTTTAGCTTAGAAATGAGCTTGCCCAGCCCCCATAGATGTAGCTTTGTACAAGGCTATGAACCCAGTAGAATTAGTGAATTGTCTCTTCTTCCAAATATTTCACGTATATTCGCAAATGTATTATTCTTTTTTTTTAAAGATTTTATTTTTTCCTTTTTCTCCCCAAAGCCCCCCGGTACATAGTTGTATATTCTTCATTGTGGGTCCTTCTAGCTGTGGCATGTGGGATGCCACCTCAGCGTGGTTTGATGAGCAGTGCCGTGTCCACGCCCAGGATTCGAACCAACGAAACACTGGGCCGCCTGCAGTGGAGCGTGCAAACTTAACCACTCGGCCATGGGGCTGGCCCCTGCAAATGTATTATTTTAACAAGTTCTTTCTTCTTTTCTACTTTGTCCCCAATTTTCCCAAAGTATAGATTTAAAGTAAATTGTTAGCAAATTTGTAGACAGTTTTTAAACTGCAGTGATATGTGGGTAGAATGGCAAGTATCAAATCAGAAATTATTCCTTACATTTCTATTCCCCAAGAAGGAGGAACCACAAGATAGAAAAAGACCTATCACCATCAAAACACGTGTGGAGAAAGTAATTTCCCAGTGAGAAGGCACAGTCCTGCGGGCTGTCTCTGAGGTCTGAGCAAGACACGTGGGGTCTGTTCAGAAGACCTTGTATTAACAAGACGGAAACAACAATCGGAGTATTTGACCAATATGGGGAAAAAATAAGTGCACATACATGCCAATAGAACTGCTTGGCTTTCAGAACTGTTCAGCATTTTGTTTTATTTTATTTTCAATATCCTGTGGGAAAAAAAGAGAGAGAGAAAGAAAAAGAAACAATGAATCACATCCTACATTGATCTCAGGAAAGAAGCCCCTCTCTCTGCGTGATTGGGCAAGAACGGATCATGACCTATGGCAGTGTCTCTGCCCACACGCACAAATAAGAGTCTACAGCCCAGTAATGCCCCCTTATACGTGACTTTATGGTGTTGCCACACCTGTGGAGAGAATATGAGATAAGGGCAAAATAAAAGGTAGATTTAGTTAGAGTTCCAAAAGAAAGCTGTTTGCTTCTGCTTTAATAGGAGAGACATTAGTCATTTAGAACAAGAAAAGCAGCAGAACACACAATACAACAGAGAGTGACTGAGAAATCCCTGGGCGCCTTGTCTCATGGACCCCTCAAGATGCCAGTGGGGGAGCAGGCACCTGCAGCATGTGGGTGGAGAAAATACAGGGCAAACCTTAAATTACATTTATCAGCTTTTGCATTCTAAAACATACTTATGAGAATGACAGATTTAAGGAAAGTTTTCCATTCCAAAATTCGAAGAGGAAATCCAATGTAAATGTTAGTTTTGCCATCCCTCACTCTTGTTTGAAGCACATAGCTTACAAACATAATGATATTCTCCAAGATCGAAATAAATTAAAACCAATGGAGAAGGAAAAAGAGAGAAGGGAGACGAATTGAGACTTGTCCAACTGTGTTCCAGTAAATGTTGAACGAGACCAACATGCATCTCTGCTTGATGATTGATTAAAATCAATGACAATCAGGACAGTGGGGAGGGGCAGTGGAGCAAACAAAGGCATGGGGCAGAAGTATCCACTCCAAACGCTTGCCCTGCTATGCTCTCATTTCCATGTGATTGAAGAATGCCTCTCTTCCTGTCAACCAATAATTTTAGGGGTTTGCACAAATACAGATCTGAGATACAGATATAGTAATATCTCATTTACTCAGCATCTGGAATAAACAAGCATTTACCACATATGGGAATTTTCCAGATGACTGAGTATAGCACTTTGAGTAGCAAAACTTAAAGAAAAAGAATCACCATTTTTTATTGAAGCCCTTGACAATTGATACGTCTTTTCCTGACTCCTTCCTGGGTATTTTGCTGAGGATTCCCAAATTTATGTCTCCAATCCATACCTCTCCCCTGAACTCTGGGGCCTTTATCCAAGTGCCTACGCAGCAGACCCATTTGAAAATCTATTTATCATCTTAAAATTATCATGTTGATGTTCTCTCTTCTAAACCCTTCCTCTCTCAATAGATGACAACTTTATCCTTCCAGTTGCTCAAGTCAAACACATTGAAGTTATTCTAGATCTTTCTGTCTCTCTGTTTCTCTCTGTCTCTGTCCCTCTGTGTGTGTGTGTGCACGAGTGTGTCTCTCTCCACATCCAATCCATCAGCAATTTCTGATGGTGCTATAATTAAAATATCTCCACAATCAGATCACCTCCACCACTTCCACGCTGGTCAAGCCAACCTCATCTGTTACTTGAAATATTGCAACAGATTCCTAACTTGTCTCCATACTTTTACTTATGCCCCTATAGTCTATTCTTAACCCAGTAGTCAAAGTATCTCCTCTAAAATGTAAGTTAGTATGTGTTTCTTCTCTACTTAAAATCTCCAATGGCTTCCCACCTCACTCAGAGAAAAAGCCAAAGTTCTTCCAATGGCCTAAAGCCTCACATGAGCCATCTCCAACATCAACATGACCTCAGCGTTCTCCCCTGCACCCACTGCATTCCACGGACATACCAGGCACACTTCTGCCTTTCCATGTGCTTTCTCTTCCCTCTGGAATACTTTCTCCTAAAATGTACCTACATGGCTATCTTCTTCACTTTCTACAGGTCTCTGCTTCAACATGATTTTCTCACCTTACGACAAATACCCCCCCAAATCTATCCTCCCTCACTGCTTTATTTTTCTCCATATATTTGTCATTATCTAACATAGTCTGTATGTATGTATTTATGCATTCATTCATTCATTATCTTATGATGAGCTTAAAGGTCTCACCTACGAATAAATGAATAAATGTATGACATTAACTCTGGGATCTCAGCAGTATTTTGAATAACTGAGCTTGACATATAAATGACCTCTTGATAGAGTAGCATTATTCCACTTGGGAGGAAAGTGTGATATGCCTAATATCTTGTCAAAGGGTTCTCCGAGGAGCAAGAACCTCCAGAAATGATGTGGGAGCTCCCTCTTGGTCGCCTGGATAATGAGTTAGTGGGACCAGGGCTTCAGGAGGGAATGGCACTCTAGGTTGTCTTCCTGGGACTGATGACTTCCATCCCTTATGGCAATTCCATGATGCCCAAGGTTTGTGGTGCAGCTGGCTTTCTTAGACCACTCCTAGCATCAAAACCAGACAGGCAGGCACCAAAGGTGTCTTATTATAGTGCTCAAGATTTCCCCATGAAGAGAGAGAACTATCAAGAGAGCAAGTTCTCTCCCAGAAAGGCATACCCACCACACGTGGCCAGCATGGAGGGGAATCTGAGGACCTGTAGCTTCTCTCCCCTTGCTTTCTTAATAAAGTCTCCTATTTAACCCATGCTCTTTGGGGGATCCCTAAGGCCACCCTCAAGTTCAAGAATTTGCTAGAAGGATTCACAGAATTCAGAAAAAAACTGTTATACTCATGGTTATAGTTTATTACAGCAAAAGGACACAAGTCAAAATCAACAGATAGAAGGTGCATATGGCAGAATCCAGGAGAGACCAGGCACAACCTTCCCATTGTCCTCCCCTAATGGAGTTGTTTGGTGGTGCTTAATTCTCCCAGCAATGATATGTGACACATATGGAGTATTGCCACCCAGGGAAGTTCACATAAGCCTTGGTGTCCAGGGTTTTACTGGGAGTTGGTCACAGAGGCATGGAGCTCCCACGTGACTGACCTCAGCTCCTCAGTCTCCAGCCTCTCCAGAGGTCAGACTAATACTGGGTTGCTGAAGGCCACACCGTAAACCACGCTGTAGCATGGACTCTCTGGTGTAGCCCAGGTACACAGAGACACTCTTATCAGGCAGGTTTAGAGGTTTTTCCTCAGGAGCTGGTCAAAGGCCACACTTCTCTTGGAAATGTGCAGAATTTGAACACCCTAGGCCTGCTGAGTCAACCCTTCACTGCACACATGCTACGTGATTTTGTCAAATTCACCCTTGTCCTTTGCACAATAGGTGATGACTATGAGGGAACCAACCTCACGTGGCATAAAAAAGAACCTGTTCATTTTGATCTGTCAGAAAGAGAGTTACTTTCCCTCTTCTGCTGTAGAAAAGAGTCAGTTAAAAGGACATTTGAGTTAGTGGATAAATATAAAGAGCCTGCCAAGCTAATTTACAAACTGAGTTAACTCAGTTTTCTATGGACAACATATTACATCGTCAGATGAACAATTAAAATGTTCTATAACAAACATATTATATACATTTCTGGGAGATAAACAGATTTCTCAATTATTTACAATAGATGTTTAATAATGATAATAAGAAAGTTTAAAGGATTAAAACATAAGGAAGACTTTTATCCTTCTTGGCTAGATTCTTTGTTTATACTACTTCTGTGATTTCCACAATGAAAATATTCCTTAACCTTCTCATATATCTTGGCCGAGGAGCATAATACCAGAAGCATACTTTGAATTCTCAAAGTACTTATGGCCACAAAATTACTCATGAATCCTTATCAAACACAATTGTAACTTGCCCTCTTATAAGGAAGGTTAGTGAAAAACAAATTAAAGTCATTAATTTCTAATTTCCACAATGTAGATATCATCAATTTGAGGCTTTAACTAAAACAGTGGAGGCAGAGAAAGGAGCGATATTATTAAGAAGCAAAGAAACCAAAGGAAGAGCTATTTTGCAGTTTTATGTGTGTTCACTTCCAAAAGTTGCTTTTGAAAATTTATAGCAAAATTCATACGTGCATGTGGCTCATACGTGCACGTGCATGAGGAAGTGCTGTGAAGAAGGCATAAATTCCAGCTCTAAGTACCCAAATCCTATTATTGAATCAAATCCAATTAGCACTTTTTTTATGGAAAACAGATAATTAGAAATTCCTTCTCTCCAGAAACATAGGCGTTTTAAATCAATCAATCAACAAAGCCAAACAGAAATATTCCCTCTGAGCCTCCAATCCAGTAAAAAGTTAGAGATGGAGTCCAGACAATCTGGAGGTCTGCAAACTCAAGGCAAAACTAAATTAGACCTCTATGCTGCAGCAAGGAGATATTAAAGCAGTCATACTGATCTTGACCCATTTCCTCATGCTTCTTGCTTTTCTCAGTAATCACAATGATTATAAGCTCAGATATCTATTTAGTGAGGCATTAGATAAGGGGAAGACAAAGCAAAAAAAAAAAAAAAATACAGTCAGTATTTCAGAACTGAAAGAAGCTAAAAGTGAGTTCACCTTAAAGTAAGTTCAATTGCCTCACTTTACAGAAAACTGAGGCCCTGAGAGGCTGAGTCGTCCGTGCACACGGGTTCATTTTCTCGTGCATTCATTCAGTACGTCATTACTGAACAGCTTCCCTATGCTGGATGCAAAAGTAAAAGTCAGCAAAGAGTTCGAAGCCTAGCGGCAGAGCTCGTCAGGAAAATCAGGAGCGTCCAGGGAGCAGCTTAATCTAGAATCTGAGCGGCAGCCCTTTTCTGGTGGGCACACATGCTGCTAGCGCAGGTTTTCTCCAGTCGGCCTTATGACAGGAAACAGCTACAGTGCTTGTCAGACCCACACATGCCAACCCTGCCCTAGACCTCCTGAATCTGAAAGTCTTCCAAAGGAACCTGGGATTCTAAATTTTCCACAAGTGCCCAGATGAATTTAATCACGAGGCCCCAGCAGGGCTTCCATACACCGGCCAGGTTCAGAGATCTCCCACCTTCGACTGCTCTCTTTCAGCTGGTAGCTCCAGGCCCCGTTGGCTTAGTCCCATATCTGAAGGTTTAGGTAAGAGCCTACATCAGTATTTCTCAGCTCAGAGTCAGTGGCAGAATTATGTAGTGAGCTTAAAAAAAAAAAAAGCAGCTCAGGCCTCACTCACGCCAACTATATTAGAATCTCTCAAATTGAAATTTAAGGCTTTCTTTTTCTGAAGTTCCACAGGGGCTTCTGATGAGCAGCCAGTGTTGAAGGCCATGCTAACCCACGGTCCTTTTAGAACGCTCAGGAGAGACCTTCGCCCACATGCGGTGGGGGAGGGGCTTGGGAGCACCTCTCGAACCCATGACACATGGTGCCACCATTATTGTAACGTGCCCTTCTCCCCCCATGTGCCTGCCCAAATCTTAGATTCAAGCAGGAAGAAAAAAATGCCACAAAGGTGTTATAAAGCAGACCACTCTGCGACAATGAGAGTCACAATTTTCCATCAAGACAAAGCAAAACAAAGGAACCACTGGGTCGATAACCATCGTGTTAGATTGTGTGTACCCCACACCATTTCAGTCACACCACACCTCTGCGCCTCCTGCAGCCCCGCCCCATGGCTTTGTGCTAGTTTACGCATCGATTAAGGCAGTTGTCCTCAGAGGACTGCATCATGTTTAGCTGAGCCTCGTTTTCTTTGCCCAGGGACTTGGGAGCTCTTGGAGGGTGGGGAACTTGTCTCTCGTCCTGTCCCCAACACCGGTAGTTTAGGATGCACAGATGCTCAGTAAGTCTTATGCAATCAACACATGCAGCTCTCAGGCCAGAGCTTTTCCCACTACACCACAGGGCCTCTTCTCGAATGCATGCACAGGGTGATGGGCATGACATTCAGGAGACAGAATTCCCCCAAGCGGCATGTCCTGGCACACTGACTTCTGAACTCAAGTCACTCAAGACCAAAGAATACGGGTGATTATGTGATGTTCCATGAGCAGCTCTAGCCCATGCCATCAGGCCAATGGTCTTGTAGTTTTCACAATGTATGTTTCTCTCAAGAGTATTAGTAAATACTTTGACACTTTCAGAATGGACTTCCGTTTACCTTTTATTTTCTGTCCTATGCTGAAATAAGGAGTAAGTCTAGAAGCAGTGAGAAATAAGCTCTCTCCCTGCAAGTAGATTCCTTTGACACCACTAAAAAAAATCTGCATAGCAAGCTGCGTGCTAAGGCCTTCAGCAATGCTTGCCTAATGACGCTCACAGACTCATGACCAGCCTTCTCTGCATCTCTTTTATTACTGTGCTGTCCCTTTTTTTTTAAATTAGTAATGCTTTGGATTCAACTGGACATACAACTTAAAAGGAACATTTAATAAAAAGTTCTTTTCTCAACAAGGTCAAGATCATTCCCATTATTGTTTATAATAGCTTTCATGTTCCTCTGAATTTTATTCCATTTTCTTAAAATATATGGAGAGGTTGTGTTTTGGTATTTTTGGATGAATTATAACTATATCAAGTATACTGGTACTTAGTTGCACATTTAATCATGGCTGGGTATTTGGTGTTTCTCAAGTATATCTTACACGGTACTGAAAATAACTCTGATGGAGTAAGAAGATAGAGCACGTGTGGATAGTTAAGTAGATTCTGATGGAAATTGAGTAGTATCTTCATATTAGCTAAATCTAGCAGCTTGAATTTTTGCTTTTTTGTTTTTGTTTTTTTAAGACCATTTCCTGAACTCATCTTCTATTTTTCATCTTTTGTAACAGAATCTCAGGAACTCCATCAGGACAGACTCTCCGTAGGGTATGGATATTACTGAGAAGAGGCACTGAAGCCCAGCCTTCGGGCCTCACTCAGCCCCGTGATCTCAGGTGTTGACACTTGCATGTGTCTTCCGGTGACGAAGCCCACAGTCCTTCAATCTTCCTCTGTTTTTAATGCATATTTAGTACGTGCTTTGAGCCATATGAAATGGAATTTTAAAATGCACTGATACATGACCAGAAGAAAAATGTTCCGTGTGCTGGATCCCTGCCGTAATAGCAGCATCCTCTCTCGCCAGTGCCAGTGCGACGTCAGTGTGCGCACAGGTGCACAGTCCCGCGGTCGCTCTGTCTTCTGTTACTGCAGAAAGGCAGCCTATTAGCTAAGCCTGAGAATGGAGTACAATTCTTCCATTAACCATTTATTTAGCCAACAAGCTAAGTAATGACGACATTTTTCTTTCTATTATGCGGGAGTTTTATGCATTTAGCAGTATTATTCCTTGAACAGATGTGTCTTTTCAAAGTCGTCTTCCTTTCCTATGAACATAGGATTTCTTCTTAATTGTATGGTTTTAAGCTACAACTGCTTCAAAAGGAGTTTCTAAACACACCACTGAGATTGCTCTGAACTGAGAGCCAGGTGACATGGAAACCACAGTGTCATCAAGAACGTGAGCAGCCAGCTCCCCACATCAAGCACCCAGTTAGCTCGTATTCTTTGGCTAAATAACTCCGCAGTCAGTGCAGTCATCCTCAGAAGCCTTAGAAATACCTGGGAGTGATCTGAATGCGGCAGTATCAGAACTACAAAAGAGAAGCAAGAAGCATTTCGCAGTCAGTCAGCAGACTGTAGAATCTGACACTGAAGGTTGTATCAAATCCCCGCCACGTGAGGGTTTTGAATAACCAAGCACGCTAGCCAGTCCCCTGCACAACACTTCCCTTTATCAATAAAGGAGCATTCACGAAGAATCAATATCTAAAGCCCGTTGGGCACCTCCCAGTACTTCTATGATTTCCTCAGTGCTGAGCGTTAACAAAGAAAACCTTGCTACTACACTTTTGAGAGGCACCCATGGACGCTGGCAACCAAATGATACCACTTTTTTCTAATAAGAAGTATAATAAGCTCTTGGGTCACCTTCAAAATACGGTTCCGTTCTTTCCCCGGAATAGAGTTACTGTGGAATCAGGTGACTGAAAAAGTGAGGAGAGGAAATAAAAGGATGGCTCAGCAGTAAAAGCTGGCGCTGCTGCCCGAGCCTGCCTCTCTGCCCACAGCAAGGTCACGGAAACTCAGTGCGAGCCCAAGCGGCTGTCAGTAGCAGACACCAACAGGTGTGATCCTGGCACACATCGGTGTTTGTCTGACAGCTGCGTGTGCTCCCGCCAGAGCTCCAGCCAGTGATCTGCCTGGGTCTGCTCTGCAGAGGAAGACTCGCCCTACAGTTTCCCACTGAGTCATGAGGTCAAGGAAGAATCCCACTGATGTCTTTAAATAGTCTTGGCTCCAGCAAGCTAATGTGCGTGATGCTACTGGAGTGTGCCTGTGTGTGCCTGGCAGGGATATGCGGGGCTCCGCTTGCTGCTGGAGACGGAATTTAGAGGGGACTTCTCCAGCTGCCTCCCAGTGATGCTGGTAAGACCTGTTGGCAACGACTCCAAAGAAGAGCTCACGCACAAACGTGCTAAGGGAACCATGGTATCTGACGATAACAGCGGGAATTGCTGCCCCCTTTTGTGGATGGGAAAATTGACTTTAGAGTCTGCTAGGTAAATCACTTGTCCCCATGAATAAGCTATATGGACCCCCTTTGAGCAGCTCTTGAAAGAAGTCAGACGGCAGCTCTACACTACAATTGCCTGAGCTCAGAACCTGAGAACGAGCTACCGACCACCCCAGCACTTTGCTGCTCTTTCCCAAATGGCGTGAAGTGGGGAGGAGGAGGAATTAGGATAAGATGCCCGCAGTGGACGGAGGGTCTGGCTGATTCCGCCCACCGTGTTCTTTGGTGACTGAGACTTTGGGGCTCAGTCTAGTCTGCCCACCCACGTTATCCATGCTTCAGCCCCTTGCTTACATTTCTCTTTAGCAGGGCTCACATTTACCAGATAGTCTAGAAACCCACACAGGTCTGTCTCTTTCACCAAAGTGTGAGCTCCTTGGTAGAAGAAGCAGGGTGTTATTCCTCTTGAGGTCCCAGCCCAGTGTCTAGGCTAAAGAAGGTGCTAATAAATATAAGTTTAACTGAATTAAACTAAACATGAAAAAGTTAGACAAGCCTTGGCAGCAAATCTAAATCCTAGGTCTTGATATTGTTTGCTATGTTCTGTAGACAAATGAGCCAAGAAACCTGGGCACTTGGCTCTCCATTATCTGAAGGTACTGTACTTTCTTCAGTGCCACATTTTCATCCTAAATCTTCAACTCCAAATGAATAGCAATGTCTTAGAGACTCTTGGCAGCCATGACAGCAGTAAGATCCAATGACCCTTGTGACAGGAACTCTGTAATTGCTTGTCCTGATGTTCGTGTTTAACAGCTGTGTACTTTTAAAATTAAAAGCAAAACAAACTTAATATTTGTACAGAGCCTTTTGTCCAAAGAGCTTTTAAATGACACTCAACTCATTTTTTAAATGTCCCTATGTGAAAGCCAAGTGGCAAATACTATCTTCCTCTGAATGGGAAAAGGGTAATTACTTGTTTTCTGTGGCTTATCTAGGCCTTACCTCCTCTTTCCTGCCTTTTCGCCATTTTCCCCCCAATTATTAGCTCATCTCTGAGAGGGCAAATCTAGAAAGGGAGGAGAAGTGAAGTTAGAATCGGATAACGTAACCACTGGCCGGCATCTCTAGAAAAGCTCAGGGATGTGCCTATGGATGCAAGAGGACTGGGAAAGAAGGTGGACACTGACATTAAAATTGATTTGTATTTATTATCTGAAAGCCATCATGCTACCCCCATCATTCACCACCAGACGTGAGCACAAGCAGCTCGATTCTTACTCTATAGACATTTTAGAGACAATGTTCCTCTGACTGTTTCCCCAGAACCTGAGGGGAAAGCTCTGTCTGATTTGGTCATCGCCGGCAGGGCAGGGCCCCAGCTGGCTCTTTGGTCCCAGGTAACACTTACCAAGGCTGATGGAGGAGTGTGTCTCGCTGTTACCTGGCTGCAGGCTGCCGATTCGAGGGTTGAAACCAGACGGTGTCAGTGCCTCACGTCGCACTTGGCTCACACTACATGCTTAGCAAATATCTGACTTTTGGATTGCATTGAATCAGACCTGCTGTCCACTATTCCAAGGGCTGAATCCCACTACTCCTCAGAAGAATCAGAGCAATTATTTCTCTTCGGAGAAAACCAAAGGCCTGCTTCAATTTATGTTTAGAATGAGATGAACATAATATTTTGGGGCTTATTAGGAACCTATAGAGTTCAAAGCAAACACTTCCCTACAACAGGTGTTCAATACGATTTAGCAAATGGTAACACAAGCACTGAGCCACGCAAACAGTAAGGGGAGAAAGTTTAGACTAGACAAGTACCCAGCTGACAAGTCTCCATGCACTGGCTCCAGTCCACGCCTCCTGGGCCGCATCAGTTGTGCTTTTTATCCTTCAGGTAGCTGAAGAGCATCTCCAGGCCCCCCTCCACCAGCTCTGGCAGAGGCTTGGACAGAGGGTTATGGGAAATATGGAGCCCCTTGTCCATGGGGTTCCAAGCAATCCTCGCCAGTCGACACAGCAGGTAGAGTTCGTCCGGGAGGGTCTGGATGTCGTTGTTGTTCAAGTTCAGCAGCTCCAGGCTCGTGAGCAGGCAGAGAGACCGCGGGAAGGAGTGGATATTGTTTCTCTCCGCGATGAAGATCTGCAGGCTGACCAGACACTGGATGCTCTCAGCGATGTTTTCCAGGCGGTTAGAGCCCACGTGCAAAAAATCCAGCTCCTTCAGTGAAAACACACAGATGGGGATGTGAGCAAAATAGTTGTTGCTGATGTTGAGCTTCCTCAGTCTGGGGAGGTCGGCGAAGCTGGCAGGAAGCTGGGAAAGGCAGTTGTGCGACAGGCTCAGGACCTCCAGGTTTTTGCAGGCGCTCAGCTCGGCCGGCATCTCGGTCAGGCAGTTCATGTTGACGAACAGCACCTTCAGGCTCTTGAGGAGGCTGATTTCTCGGGGCAGACTCTTTAGGCGGTTCCCGCACAAGTTCAGGACCACGAGCCGAGTCAGCTTCCCCACCTCGGGCGGGAGAACCCTGAGCTGGTTGTGAGACAGATTGAGTTTCTGGACCTCAGACAAGCCCCACAGAAAGTCGGGGATGTCTGTCATTCCCTTGGTGACCAGGCTGAAGCTGACGTGGCGCATGCCCCGCTTCAGCAGAGACCGTGGGTCCTTTCCGGAGAGCAGGGCATCGTCCCACGGAGAGAATTTCTGCCTCCCGGCCAGCAGCACCATCCCCTTGGGGCCCTTGTCCTGGGAGTGGGCACTTGACTGCCGCGCCCCCATTCTCCCTCCTTTGCACCCTCTCTCCGCCGCCGCCCGAAGGCTGGGGTCCTGTCCACCCCAGCTGCTAAGCGGCCGGCGCAGGCAGGCAGCGAGCGCGGCGGCGAGGACAGAGTGCGGCGGCGGACGCGGGGGCTCCCGGTCAGCCCCGGCAGGGGCCCCAGCCTCCTGCGCGGCCGCGGGGGAGCTTCGGCGGTTTCTCTCTGAGCAGCCGGGCTGTAACGGTATACTGTCCCTGGGGCTGCAGAACTGAACCACTCGATTCCCTCTGAACGCCACCAGGCAGCTGTCACTGTCACTCTGCCCGGGTTTATTGGCCTGTATGTGCAAGCGGGTCACAGGGAGGCGGCAGCTAACTTTCCCCGCTCAGCTTTTCTTGGGTATCACAGCTGAGCAGGGTGGTTAGCAAGCCCGTCTCCCAAAAGAGGCAAAGTGGAAAAATCAAGCAGGCCCGCCAGCGCCAGGCCGTGGGCACGGTCTCGGGAGCGCGCCCGGACGCCAGGGGGACGGCTGAACGCCAGCCACAGAGTTAGGCTTCCAAAGCTGAAGACCGTCAGACGGCAGCAAACGCACCCATTTCAAACTTCGGTGAATTGTGCAGTCATGAAAAAGAAACAAGGAGCCTGGACACCTGGAATCCTCCGGCGGAAGGTTCCCCACGGTACCGGTCAGAGGGGACTCGCGAGGAGGGAGTGAAGGAGCGGCTGGACCCCCGCTGCCCTTTCTCCCAGAGCAGCTCCGGGATCAGAGTCTGCTGCCAGCTTCTGGGGTTAGCTCGGGGCACCTTAAATGTCTGACCGACCCCTCGGTGTTTGCCTTAGTAGGATGAGCACCGGGTGCCCGCTGTCCCGGAAGAATGTCGCTGGTACGCACCGATGTCTCTCTCTCGAATTAAAAATGTTCGCTTACACTCTAAGTATGTAGAGTCACTTATGAGTGTTGTGGGCTGCATTGTGTCCCCTCAAATTTCAAATGTTGAAGTCCTAACCCCCAGTACCCAGAATGTGGCTGTATTTGGAAATAGGGCCACGTGAAGACACCGGGAGGAGCCAAGGAGAGAGGCCTCGCAAGCAACCGATCCTGCGGACACCTTGCTCCCGGCCTTGTAGCCTCCAGAGCCTGTATTTAGGGCACCCAGCCTGTCACGCTGTGTTAGGGTGGCCTTAGCAAACTAATACAGTTGGGAGGAGGCAGACACATTTGCGTACCCGAAAAATCCTAAAAATATGTCGTGATTAAGGGGAGAAGAGACATCAAGGTTGATGACAGGGTTCTGAGAGGAGGGCTGCAGTCTGTAGCGGCTGCTCCCCTGGAAGCACATGGCTCTTGCTGGCAGCAGCCCCTGCGTAGCCCTTGGCACAGAAGCTCTGTCCTGGAGAGCAATCACAGAGCTGTGATCACCAAGCCAGGAGCTCAGCTGGGCTCAGGCTGGGCGATCCCCGGAATCTGCAGGTCCACCCACGGAGGGGCCAGGGCCTGGGGGAGAGGAGCAGCGGGAGGTGTAAATCAAACAATGCCAGACCATTTCAGCTCCACGTGGCATTTGAGAGAGATGTGCTCCCTGTGACTGAGTAGCCCCTGGCGTTCTCAGACAGAGGTTGACACTTTGGACATTTTAGTAATGGGATGCTTCAGTGTTCTAGCTGTTAATTAAGGGGAAAAAAAGTAATGTAGCTAAATCTGTATCCTAAGTTTTTGAAGCAGACTATACCTTACACATGTAAATTTCATATGACAATGGAGTTCTGCTGTTAAAAACAAAGTTAGCTATGCTCCTCTTTCCCTCTTCCCTTCCATGAGCGTGATAAATGATGTTAGAGTTCCTGAAATGTGAGGAATAGCAGGAGCTGGGATGGTTTGAGCAGGAGTCAACAGCTTTCTTCTTTGTGGCAATTCTCCTTTTCCCTTAATACATTTTTTTCCAATAAATACTTTTTTGAGCAGTTAATAGCCAACACTTATTGAATGTTTATTAAGTGAAAGGCATCGCACTTTACATGCAGGATGGGTGTTAAAATGAACTCTACTTTACAGATGAGGAAAGGAAGATAGTGAGAGGTCAAGTTACTTATTATGCAAGATCAAGTCACTTGCCCAAGGTCAAGTACCTAGTCAATGGCAGAACCAGAATTCAAACCCAGCCCATCCAACTCCACAGCCCAGGCTGGGAGCTACAAGAAGACTCTGGACTTAGCCCTGTAGAAAGATGGAATAACTGTGGCTAGGATATGGTTTTTTCTTTTCAAATTGCTAGAGGTAAGGCTTGAGGGAACATAGGTAAAGAAATTACTAAGTAACTACCTGCATAGAAATAACTACATAATTAAGCATTAACCCTGCTTATACTACCCCCAAACAACTAAGAAAAGCAAAAGTTAAAACATCATTCCAGAAGAGTTTGGTGTAATGGATTTAATCCCCTCCAAAAATAGTTCAGTTCTTCTGTCGTGAGGTTCTCATATATCAAATGGCTGAGCTGTGTGAATAGCTGACTTTGTTTCTTCTAACGGTTTGAAACATAGATGCTGACTGCTTGCTTAACCACGGTTGTCCGTTCAGAGCACGGTCACCTAGAGGCTGGTCAGCGCCTCTAGCCCTGCATCTTCGTAAATGAAATAGGTCATGTGAGGGGATGATTTCCCAGAGCCTCCCCCCTTCTTCATGGTGGACTCTCGCTGCAAATGAGACCACTGCAGGGAAGTGAAGGCACACTTAACGTCTTTTCTAAGGCATGCAAAATCCAAGGCGGCTTTTATTTTCCTTCCATTCACATTGATCCCCAGGGAATTAGCAATGGCCGGGATGCTGCTGGCTTCAGGATGCGCTACGGAGGCCACACATCCAGCTTTGCCACGAGACACTTCTGAGGCTCTCCAAATGGATTTCAGTTTGGATTAAGCCTCAGAACAATGGATTGCTGGACAGGTTTGTGAGAGTGCCTTCAAATCCTAAGGAAGTCATAGAATAATCGGAATGTATTCAGTATGCTCAATGTATTTCCTGCACTTCTGTGTAATCCAATTGTTTATTTTCCAACATATGAAAATCCACATTTATTCATACTGAATTCATACAATAACTATTGAAAACAATTTTTTTTATTCTTGCTGTGGCTTTTCAGCTTAGGACTATATATTATGTCTGTTAATTTTGAATGAAAGAAATGTGTATGTTTAAATAGTTTATTAAAATAACCATTTTACTAATTTAAAATTTTAAAAATAGAAAATGTAGGCAAGTATGAAGAGAGACAACCCAATTAACGTTTTGCATATGTAAATCTAGGTCTTGTTCCTGTGCATATCTACTTCAATGTGTTTTCTTTTACTGAAGAAAATTTTTTTTATGTGTCTTAGCCCAGGTTTCCTCAAAAGTAGAGCTTGAGGCAAAAGCTATGGGATGAATGTTTGATTGAGGAGTACTATCCAGGCCCGCGAAAATCAGGGGGCCTGGGAAGTCACGGGAGGAAGGAGAGCAAATGGGAGCCGTGCCTTCCGAGCTGGCCGCGACCCTGCATCCAGCACAGCCTGGTGCTGGGCTTGCAGACACCCGCGGAGAGGCTGCGTTAAACCAGCACGTCTCGGAACAGTCCATGGTTAAGCATCTGCAACATGCATGCAATGGGGAGCCCAAAGTACAGAACAAAATTCCCTAATTTGTGGTTATGATGGTATATAACCCATAGTACAGTGAGGGTACATGGTAAGACCCCGCTAACTGACAGCTGTTCCATAAGTGACAGCTGTTATACTATCATACTCACATACCCCCCCACACACACACATGCCCCTGGATTCATTTACTGAACTTTCTCCGTGCATTTGATTTTTACTTTGTCCTTGTTCACGAACTTTATACTCTCTTCAAGGCCAATCAAACCTGTGTCCATGAAGCATCTCTCATTTATCTTTCACTCACATTATATTTGCAGAGTATTTACTTAGTTTCAGAAGCTGTTTTAGACATTGTTATACGGTCTATCTGATGCTCCTAAGACTTGTGAGGTCCATATTGTTAACTGCGTGTTAAATATGATGAAGTTAAGCTTCAGTGGGGTTAACTGATGCTCCAAGTTACAAAACTGGTTAGTATAAGAGTTAAGACCAACACTTGTCTTCTGATCTAAATCCTGTTCTCTTTTTACCATGCGAAGATGTGGCCTCCCTCTGCAGTTTTTTCTCAGTACAGTGGTTATTATTACTCTCACTGGAGCATGCCCCAGCCTTCCGGCTTGTAGCCACCACAGTGAGAGGGAGCACAGCCTGGTGCTCAATATTATGAGCCCAATTAACATGGCTGAGAGCCTTGGATTTTAATCCTGAGTTTATTACCGAAAGGCCATGTGACCTTGGGCAAGTTACTTAGCTTGTCTATAATTTCCATTTCTTCATATGTAAAATGGAGATAATGATAGTACCTTGTAAGGCTGCCATGGGAATTAAATGACTTAATACATAAAAATGCTTAGAACACGTCTCCACACGTAGTCAGTGAATGGATACCTGACAGGTCACAGGAAAGACGGCCAAGTGCACTGCCGTCTCCAGGGGCGCGCGAGAGAGGACCTTGTCCAGTACGGGTGAGCCTGGCCCTTTCGTCTCCTGAAGCCTCCCTCTCAACCAGCCAGCCATCAGCTCTTCCCAGGGAAACGTGCGTTCCCCGAAAGCGAGATGTTCAGGCGCAGGTTCTCAGGCCGATCCAAACGGAGCTGCTTTTCTCTGTGAGGCAAGCTCCTCTTCTGAAACCCTTCATCCTGGGGTTTGATCGCTGTCTCCCTCTGTTCATTCAGCTCACATTTGCTGTCCACTCAATTAGATTCAGCCTCTTGTCTCCCCTAGAGCCCTGGAACAGTTCTGAGGACGAAGTAGGCACTCAATAAATGCTTACTGAAATGCACAAACACTTGGGGCCTAATGGAAGTTTGCTGGGAGAAAAGAACAATGCAGAAGGCACTTGGCTACCCTGTTTCTTTTTGATTGCTTCACTGTCACTGTATTTTGACCTGCTTAATGCATCCCTGCAGAGGACTCTACCCACACCCCGTGTGCAAGAGCTGGTCACTGGACTCCTGATTCAACCTCCGTTGCAGCAACTCCTTGGACAAAGCTTTGCCAGACAAGCCAAGTCTATTCCATCTTTCGGAGGAAGCCTCAGCACCTTCTCGAGGAAGGTCCTGGTCCTGCTGTCCTGCAGGCTGCCTGGCACTGAGTGAGCGAGGCTCAGCCCCTCTCCATCCTCGCCTGTAAGTGGGATAATTGGGCTTCCTCCTCACAAGCCTGTTGTGAGGATCAAATGGGGTGATGTAAGGACAGCAAGTAGCACAGCACCTCCTGCAAAAGGGCCCCTAGTGCCATTCAAGAGTCCACCGTAATCCATCCTCGGCATCGTGGCCAGAATGTTCTAGAAGTCTATCCCTACCAACCCGCTGCATAAGCTGTCCTTGCAGGCCATGGTCACACACTTGCCCACATCGCAGTCTCACATCCCACCATTTACCGTCTAACACACACACACACACACACACACACACACACACACACACACACTTGACCTTCCAGCAACACTGAGGTAGTAACCTCAGTGACTCCCTGCACACCCCTTGTGTTTTCAGGATGCTGTCTCTTTGTTCATACTGGTCCCTTGATTGCACGCTAGCACCACTCATGTTTCTCGCAAGATACAGTGTCACCTCCTAAGAAAGCCTTCCCTGACCACCCCACCTCACTCTGGGGCTGCCTGGGCATCCTTCCTTGCCTTCTGGAGCATCCTGGACTCTCCTTTCTCACACACAGTGCTCATCCCTCCTAACAGCAGCAGTTCTCAACTGCGGCAACTTTGCCCCTCAGGGGACACTTGGAAATGTCTGGGGACATGTTTGATCAACTAAGGGGATGGTGGTGCTGCTACGGGCATCTAGCAGGTAGAGGCCAGGGATGCTGCTAACATTCTGCGGTGCACAGGACA